AATAATAATGAGAATAATCATAATAACAGTAACAAAAACAATAACAGCATTTTATGGAGATTTTAAAATAATTTATTACAAATAAAATCATTTGTGTCATTTTCATGTGGATTACTACTTATTACATTAAAAATTATATTGCTTATAGGGAAATGGAGAGGCAAAGACAGTTGGAATGGGAGAAACAGCGTTGTCAAGAACTTCAGCAACAAAGACAACGAGAACAGGAGAAAGTGTTGCAATTGAAGGCAAAAAACCAGAATCTTACAATTGAACTGTCACAATTAGTAAGTAATTTTGAATTATTGTCTTTGATTGTGTGCAATTGGAGGTTCTATTTTTTTTTCTGATGTTTGATTGATTGATATCTGAAATTATTGATTAATTTCATATATCAACAGAACTTAAATGATTCAAATTACAGGATGAAATTATTAATTTACCATAGCACCTACAAGACTGCAAAATGGCTAGTTTGTTTAGTTATTAATTCAAAACCTCTGGAAAGGTCAGGAATTCTGTGCAAGTTTATTATGAAATTGAAAAACTATATATGCATGCAAGCAATCCTTTCAGTTGTTCACTTTACATCACAGATACTTGATAATTAGACATAAAATGTTCAGACATTGAAAAATTGTCTTTTAGTCAGCTTAAACGGCACAGAAAATGTCAAGAATGAGGGAAAAAAAGCACTGTTATATTTTACACAATAAAGGGAAAAGTTGTTTGTAAATTTTTCCTGTATTATTTTTTAACTTAAATGGACAAAATAAGTACATACATTTTAATATAGAACAAGATTTATATATTACCATTCACAACTCTTATATGGGTTCTGATTTAAAGTTCATGGGCTTACTGTGATTTTGGTGTGCTATGATTTGTCAGACATTTTCCAAATATTCTGGCTTGAGATTGTAAGGTATCCTAAATGATATCCCTATTATTGTGACCTTTCGTAATGTAAAAAAAGGTGTATAAATTTTCCAGAGTATTGTAAGCTATTTGCAACTTTAATAGAATTCAATAATTGCCACTAAGTTAATTATTAAGCGTGACTTCTTGGCTGTGCTTTGGATGAATCACCTATGCGCAACTGTCTATCTTCAAACCAACTTGCTAAATTTCATGTACAGATCTATTCTAATATGAATCTCCTTCGAACCTGGAATCTATTTTAATTTAAAATTCAAATTACAACTCAAATGAAAATGATACCTTTGACTCCTTATTTCATGCAATACAAAGCTGTCAAAATTAATTGTAAGCCCCCTGCTTCCCTATTATTGAGTTATTACCCCAGTCTTAACTGAAATAATATTCGTACCGTTCCGTTTGTTGCATACATTCCATTTGACAGCTAGCGAGAGAATGATGATTTCATTATTCTCACAGAACCATGGCTTCCAGTGCTACCTTCACACCTCCTGCGTGGAATGTCCTCGGGGCCGTGTTTCCCAAATGAATAGCGTTTTGTTATCGAGCATGGAATATTATAAATTGTTTATCGGTTGGCCTCACATTGTGTATTCTGTGGCTCTATACGTCCTATAAGCATACATTTACATTGCATCTATAAAGCTTGATACTGTTTTTCCTGTTCAATATACAATGGGGCTTCTGGCTTATCACAAGATCTCTATTCTCAAGAACAAATTTGACATCTTGCATAGACTGTCATTGTCACAGAGCTTTTTAACAGCTTATGCAATTTATTCGTAATTTTTACTATGATAATTCACCGCCTTCGACCAAGTTTCCCATTGAGTTTCTATAGCAGTTAGTATGGCATATAGTTCAGGCAGCAGAGGTGTGTCTGGTAATTTCTGTCAAAAAAATTTGCTCTGGAAGGTGATTTTAAGAAATACTTTTTGACTGATGAAATTGGTTTCTTTACTGAAGGAAAGAATTGCCTAGCCCTTTCTGCAATGTGGTGCAGACAATGAGCAAGTCACGTCAAATAAGTTAGGATAGGAGGATTTCGAAAGCATCTGTGAGAAGTGTAAGTACCTTTTGATCTTGTGCCATTAGAATAGAAGAGTTTTTTAACCTCATATTTACAAACTTAGCAAAAGCTTCAGAATTGTTTGTTTCCAATGGATTTGCATATAGGAGATCGGGAGCACCTGCATCGAATTTGCTCAGCTTCCCAACAATTGGGTGGGCAATATATCATTCGAACAGGTCAGTCATTTCATCAGTGGACAGCCAAATGCAATAGTCACATTCCATGTGAAATCAAACACCATTTTGAACTTAAATTACAATGACATCTGCGAAGTCATTTTATGTCAACTAGAATCAGATTAATGAGACCTGAATTTTTTTGTTTTGCTATAATTTCAGAGTTATGATTTTTTTTTTAATTTAAACTAAACTGAGTGTTTAGTGCATCGACATTTTTAATTTGCAATAACTTAGAAAGTCTTTAAAGTAGAATGACAAACTATATCTCATTTTAAAGACGATTTAATGTGCTTTTATTTAATTTGTATTACAATTACAAAAATAAATTTAAAAAATTGTTTTAAAATTATTTTTGAAAAAATATGAACCCAATTTTGAAAATGATAACTACAAGATAATTTATTTTTCCACTCACCGTATAAAACTACATGAATTTTCTTTTTGTGACATAATTTTCAAGATGGAGAATCAATGGGGCATTTGACAATGAAGCAACAATATATTTACTACTCACATATGTATATCAGGAAGCAGGGGCTAGATATATAGAAGAAATGTTCATAAAATTGTATACACAGTTTATTTTACTTTACATTTTATTAAAAACACACACACACACAAGCACCAGTTTTAATCATGACAGGTTTTCATAGATACCATATCTTCAGATTTTGAGAACACTTTTGCCATTGTGGTACTTTTTGAGTGCGGTAGAAATACATGAAATGATTGGGTGACAGGTATCCTTTGTGCTGTTGAAAATCTGGTTTCAAGTGTTTTCTCCTCTGCTGCATGATCCTTGGTGTTAAGAAATGTACATTAACATTCAATGTATTTTTCTGAACTCGTGTAAAAAGGAGGAGTGTTTATTCGTTCTGTGAGACTTTGAAAACTGGCCCTTGCTGTCAAATGTTTGATCGTTCCCCCAACTCCATCACAGGGTCCTTTGCTGTGCAATGTTGTGAAAAAGAGCCATTCTGCAGGAATTCCAATGTTTTCTTTATGATGATACAAGTTTATAAAGTTCTTATAATGAGAACTTGCACCATGAGATGTAAGTTTTAGAGTTAAAATAAAAATTTGAATCTTTTTAATAAAATATATTTTACAATAATTCCTTGAAATGGTGATTTTCTTATTTTGCATCCTGTTTTATTAAAAACAGGGGTGGGGTGTGTGTGTGTCGGCGGTGTCTTAACCTCTTTGCAACTCGTTACGTTGAGATTGAAATATGGAAAGGCAGTCCTAGCCGACTAGACTTAACATGTAAATCTCATAATTCTCAAATGAGATATTTCGGAAAAAATCTTGTCTTATATTCTAGTAAATATAGTAATAATATTGAAGTTTTTCTGTTACCAGATTTGAGAAAATTAATCAAGTTATTGAAGTGAACAATGAAGTCAAATTATGAAAATATTAAAGCAATAAAATGTACTATTTCAGAAGTTGTAATTTCGGTAATTCAAATCTAGTGGAGAGTATTATGAATTTGAAGTTCCAAAACATTAGTATTGCTGTCTTTTTATCCAAGCTTGCTCAAAAGAACGTACATTATGTGAATTATTATGGAACAGATTTTCATGTAAATACATAATTTTACAGGAACAAGATACCTGCATTCAATAATGTTTTTTAGTTTAAAAGACATTCTTAATGAATGAGAAACATATTTTACATATGTTTTTCATATTTTAGTATAGATACATATTTTACACAATGCGTAACAAAATTTTACGGTATGTAACAATATTATTTTAACACTTTTTGTATTCACTAAAGATTAAATATTTACGCTTATTTTTATTTTTTGTTGTATATTTTTTCCAGGCTTTTAACAAATCTTTGAAAGTTAAAATTATCATTGCCTTCAAATAAAAATACAAATAAATAATTTAATAAAAATGTGGCTATTACCAAACCTATTACACGACATGCAGCCCAAAATCATCACAGAACTTCCTCCATGTTTCATAGTAAGCAGGATGTTGCCAGTTTTGTTGGCCATATTTACCTTTCTTCATACATTTTGACATCCTCAGAACCATAAAGACATTATTGTTTCATCCAACTGAATACAGTAACATTATTCCAGAACATGATATTTTTATCTTTGTAATCTCTGTAGAATTTAATCTTAGCAAGTTGATTTTTTCTACTTATGAACGGCCTCTTCTGGCATGATAGTCATATTTCCACAGTACTCTGCGAATTGTGTGTTTTGACAATTTGTTAATGAGTTGTTCCGTCATTTTGTGGATGTTGGGCACACTTGATGTTGGAGTTTTCTTCGCCTGCCGAATTATGAAACCTTTGTCTCTGTCATAGTGCTGCTTTTTCTTGGCTTTCCTTGGCAGATTCTTTGCTGAACCATTGTATCTAAACTTATTTGATAAGGGGAATTTTTTGCAATTTTCTTTTGATGATTTTTTCAATTAAGGAGTCCTCAATCATTTTTCCTTAATTTTATTATTACACATTTGTTGTAAATCATTAAATTAAATATTAAGGGTATTTTCCATGAAATAATGAATTTCATATAACATTTATACTCTACAAACAAGACCGTTATGCACTGTACACGATTACAGAATATTTCAGATGTGAATTTGCAATACATGTTACTGGAATAACTTTCTTACAAAGCAATGTAACATATCTGATCACTCTCGTCATGGATTCTGCCCCTCCCTCTCCACTGCTTCGTAGAAACTGCATATTCAGAATCAAGGATAAGCTGATGTTTGTGAAAGAGAAATACTTGCTGCTACATGAGAACCGCATGCTTGCTCATGTTTCATGTGGACAATGCGTAACTCAATCAAAAACTTAACAAACATTTTTTATAGATCACTGTTTTATTGTAATGCAGGTAGGGGTGGAGAGTATTTGTGGTTAACACCAGTGTACAGAAAAGTGTGTTCTGTGCTCAGAAAATGCTTGTATAGAACAATTTTAATGTGGTAATGAATTTTTGTATTACATATTTTCTATTTTTTCTTATATATTTTGGAAAAATAAATATACATCTATGTACATATTTTGCTTTTTTTTTATTACAATAAATTCAGTTTCCTAGTGATAATTTTTTGCTACTGTTTCCAGGGGAGGGTGTTTTTTTGTTTCTTTGTTTTTGCCAGTATTGTAATTGTTGTGGAATTGACATTGTAAGAGCAGAATATGAAATTTGATGAACATGTTAATGAAGCGTAAAATAATTTTTTGTTACATTTATTTGTCTTTAATGAGAATTATTAAGGAGTTTCATCTATTTTAGAATGAAAAGGTGAAGGAACTTTCTCAAAAGATAAGTGAGACTCGAGTGGGAGTGTCTGGTGTTAAAACCACAATTGATGGAATGCGCACTACTCGTGACTCTCAACTCCAAGAGATGAGTGCATTGAAAACTCGCCTGAAGGAACAGAACCAACGTTTAGTTGCCCTAAGTCAGGAGAAGGCTCGACTTGAAGCTCGAAATAAGTTAAACATGGCAGCTGATTCTGCAACTCAGGAACAGGTGAAGCTTGCTTTCAGCAACAAGCAAATAACTTTGAAACAACTGAGAGATCGTCTTGCAGACTTGCAGACCGAGGTACAGTTGGGCATTGATTCCATTCTTTTAATTGGTTTTCATATATCATGATTTGGGGATAAGTAAGTTCCTCTTTTTTATTTCTAGATTGAAGGTAAAATGGAGGATATTGAGAATAATAATACTCAGTTGGGAGAGTTGAAGCGCCAGTTGGGTGACTTGGTGTCTGAATGTGAACAAATTTACAGTGCTTATGAGCAGAAGCGAAATAAAGTAAGTTTTGAAGAATTGGTATAAAGTTTTTTAACCAGTAGGTTTATAGTTATTTTCAAATTCTATTTTGTCTCAGAGGCAGTGTTTGTGTGAAAATGTATTTTACAGTAAAGAAAGTTTCATTAAGTTCATTACTTGTATTACTTTTATTGAAACTTTTCTAATGTGTTCTTATTAATTTCAATTTGATTTTATTTATTTTTTAAGTTAGGTTAACAGATCAGAGATCTGATAATTAAAGATCCTTCGATTGATAATTAAAAATATATATTTTTATAGATAAGTAATAAAATCTGAAATTTCTCATTGTATGCTTAATTACAGGTTTTAGATATGAAAGGGGGTAGGAGAGATCCTTCAGATTATTCAACTTCATGGGGTGATTCAGCATGGGATACAGCTCCAACTACTTGGAATACAACAGCTCCTACAAGTTGGCCATCAGCTGATTCAGAGCCTTCTGCAGGTATTGGAATGTAAAAGTTATTTTGTTAGATATATTTGATATTTTAGTGTAGATTGTAAAGCAATATTGGTGTTGCAGCCACTACAAACATGTTAAAATACAGAGCCCTGTATGAATTTCTTGCTCGGAATGCTGATGAACTATCATTCCAACCAGGCGATATCATCTTGGTATATAGTACTTTCTACATTCCTATTCCATATTATGAAGTTTCACTCGGGCCATGTTTTCTGTATCTTAATTTGATTTTGTGCATAAGGTTCCCAAAGACCAGAATGCAGAGCCAGGTTGGCTTGCTGGCGAGATACGAGGCCAAACTGGTTGGTTCCCTGAATCTTATGTGGAACTGTTAGAGAGTCCTACTTCTGTTATACCTTCTGAGGGTATAACTGATTCGAATCTCAGTTTTGCTACTGAAGGTGTGGGTGAAGCCCTTCAAGGGAAGCGACCTCTAGAGTAAGCATTAATTTTTTTTTTTTTTAATTAATAAATATGGCAGATATTCTCTTCAGCAATATTGATTGTAATATCAATGTGCAGAGGTATTGCAGAAGTTCCTGAGAACGTAAGTGATAACGGATCAGTACCTGAAGGTGGTGATGTTGGTCCTCAAGTACTCAATGATATGGCCAGTCCTGTTATAGGCCAGGTAGAGTATAATCAGTTATTACTTACAAATTTAATAATTGCTCAAGATTTAGTAAAGAGAAAAACGAAATGAAATATCATTGAAAAATGATTAAAACAAATGTTTAAAGATGGGGAATACAATGTGAACATAAATGCGTTTGTCCCTTATCTAGATATCAATTCTTTGTTTTAAAATATTTCAGTACTATTTAATCAAAGTATGTTAGTTTTGAATTATTAATATAATCATTTTTTAAATTTGGTGTTGCTGCTCTAGGGTGTACTTGTTAGTGATGTGGAAGCACAAGCTATTTATGTATGGCGGGCCAAGAAGCCATCACATTTGTCATTTAATAAAGGTGATGTCATCCGAGTCAAAGAACAACAAGAATTGTGGTGGTATGGTGAACTTGCTGGAGCTCATGGATGGTTCCCCAAATCTTATGTCAAAGTCTCGTCAAAACCTGCAGAATCTGGAGAAGGTGAGGAATATTTCAAATTGTGTGACTATGGCGAAGGTTGAGGATGTGTAGTCCACTCTGCAAAACCTTTTTATAAACCTTAAATATTTTATCTGTGTACTTGTCTATGTTTATTAACACTCCACTTCTCACGAATCCTTTTGTATTGTGTGGATGTGTTTACTCGCACAAGGTATTTGAATACTCCAACATCAGGATACCACATTCTAAGAGTAAAAAAAAAGTAAGAAACAAGATATGCAGTATCAGATAAGTTCAAACATGTTTTGTAAAGTAAACTCCATAAAAAGAATCATGTACATACAGTGGGAAAGATTTGCAGCCACTCCGAACAATAATCAATGTACAAGGTTCACTTCAGCAATGAGAGCTAAGTATGACAGCTGCTCCAGGGCCTTGTCAGAAAACTCTGCGATAAACAATTCAATTTCAACGACGGCATTAGTTCTCAGTCTTCATAGTACATCTGACACTGAATAGGTTGAGTGCAGGGTTGCCATGCATGTGAATTGTCATAATATTGATAAGTTACTCAAATGCTAACGTGAGGTATGTAGTTCCACCAAGCAACATTGTAAAGCAATAACTTGCAAACTTCTACTTTTACTTGAATGCAACAAAGCAAAATGTATTTCTTACAACTCAATTGAAGAATGCATAAACTGGTTTGCATTAACACCATCTCTGAGAAGTAAATAAAAATCAAGTGGGTATCCAAATACCGCATCTGAGTGGATGTTAAGTTGAAAACGATGATGATGATGATGATGATGATGATTGATGATGATGATGATGATGATATGATTATGATAATGACATTAATAATGATGATAAGAAGTAAAACAAAAGCAACCATCGCCACGAAAACAAGAAAACAAAAACACAAAAAAACTAATTTTTTCCCTTTGTTCCCCCTCTTTTTTTTCCCTCTTCTTCTTTTTCCCTCTTCTTCTTTTCCCCTCTTCTTCTTTTCCCCTCTTCTTCTTTTCCCCTCTTCTTCTTTTCCCCTCTTCTTCTTTTCCCTCTTCTCTTTTTCCCCTTCTTCTTTCTTTTTCCCCTCTTCTTCTTTTTCCCCTCTTCTTCTTTTTCCCCTCTTCTTCTTTTTCCCCTCTTCTTCTTTTCCCTCTCTTCTTTTTCCCCTCTTCCTCTTTTTCCCCTTCTTCCTTCTTTCCCTCTTCTCTTTTTCCCCTCTTCTTCTTTTCCCTTCTTCTTCTCTTTTCCCCTCTTCTTCTTTTTCCCCTCCTTCTTCTTTTTCCCCGCTTCTTCCTTTTTCCCCTCTTCTTCTTTTTCCCCTCTTCTTCTTTTTCCCCTCTTCTTCTTTTTCCCCTCTTCTTTTTTTCTCCCTCTTCTTTTTTCCCCCTCTTCTTCTTTTTCTCCTGATTTCTTTTTTTCTTCCCTGTTTTAAAACTTTTTATGTGTATGGTAGTTATATAGTATCTAAAAAGAACGTTGTTTTTCGTCATAAATTCAGTATATTTCAACCTGCAATTTAAAGACAGATAAAACTACAAATGAGTCACTACAATACATTGTACAATAGGACCTGCTTCTGAAATCAAAAAATGAAAACAGATAAAAAGTTGTGTTCGAAAGTTATTTGAAAAATATATTGTGCAAAGTAAGATTTTGTTGATGTCTAAATGTTAATTAAAATATCAATTTTTATTGATTTTATAAATTTTTAACACTTAAAAAAATGTAATTCAAGTTCAAGAAAATTTTAGAGAAAAGGGTGATAAATTTGACATTTGAATATTGTTGTGGATTATAGTGACCACTGTCTTGGAATAATACTCTATCTCTCAGAATAATTAGGAACTACTTTGTAGAGTTGCTTCATTAGAATACTGAGCTTTAGGTCTTTACCTGAGGGGAAACATTTTGAATATGATAAAAGCTACCCATTGGCTGTTCTTGCAAATGCCATCTACACAGGGGGAACACTTCCATTTTTAGAGACTGGGAGATCAAATTATGCCCGCATCCTCCAGGAGCGCTATCAACTAGAATGGTGTTGCCTATCCTGTACCCCACTTCCACTTATGTCAGTGACATTTATTGTCAATAGTTAAGCAGAAGTTCAGAATTATACTATTTTTTGGATGCCCTTTAATAACTGCCTTTACCAAATTCTTATTGTGTAATTAACTGTTTTATAGGGCCTTATGTGTTCTATTTGTTTTGAGTGCATTTCCAATAATTTAGAAAATTATTGAAAATCAGTTAAATTCTATTGGTATTTTAGTGGTAATAACAACAGCTGGGAAATAGCCATGAAACATTTAGAAGCAAGCATAGGTTTCACCAAAATTAGCACTTCGCATTGAGAGCATGCTACTGCTCAGTGATTCGTCTAGCTGCTTCATGGCATATACCTTCAAACAGCAGTAAGCACTTAAGTTGTGCTGCAGTGTTTGTTTGTGTTTTTATTTTATTTTATTGTCGTGCATTGTTAAGGAACTTGAATATATTGTAGTTTAGCTGGAACAAAAACTATTTGATTCACTTACATTTCCACAAACCTGCACATACATTCATTCATACATGTCTATATATATTTATGTATATGTGTATAAAATATATACATTTTTTTACGCATCTCACATGTTTTTCTTTTTTATTCAGTCATTGTTGTGAATTCTGTACGCGTTGTATTGATTTTTTAACCATTTTGGTCAGACCTAAAATTCAATGGACATTCTTCCTTGCAACTCAGAAAGCAGAAGCAGGCTAATCACAGCAATGGTAATATTTAGATAAGAAGGTTACTGATAAAATCATTTAGCAGTACCAGAGGAACTGAAAAATTATTTAGAAAGATTACAGGTGATAAGATAAAATGTATTTTACATATCAATTTACATTTAGCATTGTGTAAAAATAAGTTTTACCCTAAAGAATCAAAGTACAAAAAACTGTCATTCTTTTAAAAAATTATGGTTATGGTTCAAAATATTTATTTTCATTCCACGATTATTGTATCTTGCCTTCTCTAGAATAGGATTTTCTTGTGCCTTCTAGTCTGTAGAGAATTATTGCGGCTTGCCCAGATCATACTGTAGGTGGAAAATGTAGAAATGCGTAAAAACATAAAGATTCAATGCCCTGACTGCAAAATCAAATCAGAACCATTATACCATTAAAATTCCTTTATTTTAGGACCAAAGGAATCAGACATATGTATAAGAACAGTTGGGACACAAAATGGTATTGACTAAGTGTAATCAATTATTTTCAAGGGTCCTTTAAAATTTTAACTGACATTACGAATAAGAATTTTAAAAAAATATTACAAGTTACTTTTTTTTTTAAACTGGAAGAATTTAGATTGTAATATATTTCCACAGGAGAATATTACATGGCAATGTATCCTTACCAGTCAGTAGAGGAAGGTGATTTGAGCTTCCAACAAGGTGAAATCATTCAAGTTATTAAGAAAGAGGGTGACTGGTGGACTGGCATGATTGGTGATAGACAAGGTGTCTTCCCATCAAACTATGTTCAGTTGATGCAGGGAGATGTAAGACCCAATTATATAATTTTTTTTAGTGTTAATGTGTTAATGGTTTTGAGTAATTTTTCAGTAACTAATTGTTTTCAAAATTTATTTGCATGACTCAAATGTGCTTTTTTTACCTTTGTGCTTTTGAATTGGAATAACATTAATTTTAAAGTGTAATAATACTGTTATGGTTTGACATTGTTTTTGTGTGTACGTGTGTATCTGTGGCTGGAATAGACGGCAGTTCCCACAGAAGATACTACTCAAATAATGCCTGCTGCAGAGGAACCTATTCAAATTTCATCTACCACCCCTGTGACAGTAGCCCCATCACCAACTCAAGTGGAGCAAGTGAGTATGAACTAGCAAGTACTATCAATTAGGATTCATAATATTTTTATTATGGATGGTATCATAAAAAATACTTATTGACAAAAATATTGACTAAGCACATTAATTTTTTTTTTTTGTAAAAATCAACTGATTTACTTGGATAGACATTTTTTCATGATTAGTTACTGCAGATTCACACTGACAGCATTGATCCCATCTTGAAGCCAATCTTGAACCTGTTTTTTCTCCATTATCCCTGATGCATTGAGCCAATGCTAAAATGCCCCCTTGCTCAGCTACTTGATGTAGTGTCACTATTTGCACTCATTTTTTTGGAGCTCTTTTGCGAGATGTTAGAAGTGTGGGATTTAGTTACTTGGTCAGCAGTACTATTGTATCAAATCTGTGTAAATACTTTCTATTACATGACAGCTAATATTTCTTATTAAATGTAGCCCAAACTGCTCTTTGCTGTAGATGGTTTGTTGATGATGGATATGAGGTCAGCTAAGCTCAGATTTTTAGGCAAATGCCCATTTTATTCTTTTGATGTAGACACAGGAAATAAATTATATACACATTCCATGACTTTTAGAAATTACAGAATTGCAGGACAGACATTACAAATGCATATTCATTCATCAAATATGGACAAAATTTAACATCTAATTTTGTCTTGTTACAGTATGAATATCAGTTCAAAACTTCATTCTCGGTATGACAAAACAATGAATGTTAATTTTTGAGAAAGGCAATTGAAACATTGAAATCCATTTAAATTACACATTTATAAAGGAAGTATTTGTATTTCAGTGCCATATTACTAATTACAATTATGACATTGAAACACTCATATTTACATATTACGTTTTAAATTTGTAATTTTATAAGCACTTCAAGGCAATTGCCTCTTTCTCAAAAATGCATATTAGTGATTTTGGCATATGTGATCAACATAAAATAAATACCACTGTATTATTCTGCATATGTTCTCATTTATTTGCAATTTTATTAATATTTTGTTGTTCCTCTGATTATCCCATCTTTTTTTTCTATCATCCATGTTCCAATTCCATTGGTTGTCACACTCGGGCATGTCCAGAGAGTGGGGCAGCTTTTTGCCCCCCAAGCTGGCACGTAAGTGAGGCCCCAAAAATGAATACAAAATGTTCTCCAATAAATTAAAAAAAGTTTTTAACTATAGTTGAAATATGTTTAATTTTAAAATATTGTTTTTACTATTAATTATTATTAGTAATAATAATCATAATAAAATATTACAATATAATTAGCCAAAGGAAAACTTATAAGCAGATAAGAAGACTGGAGAAAATATGTCAAAAGTATAGTAAGAGACATCTCTGGCCCCCAACAAGTGGGATTCAAAATTTTGAAAATTCTTTACATGAACATGAAAGACAAAATCACATTAGAGTGCATCTCTGAAGAGAACTGGACAAAACATTACTCCACCCTAAGGATCAATGTAGATTGTAGAACAAACAAAGAGCTAGAAGAAATAGATGACAATAGTGACGATGATATGGATGTCCCCTTGAATATTGAAGACCTAGAGACAGTATTAAAGAAATCAAAGAATAGTAAAAGCCCTGGATCAGATGAAATTAACCTAGAACTTATAAAATATAGAGGAAATTAACAAAAAGAAAAATTACTAGAACTTTTTAACAAAGTATGGCAAGACAGGAAAATACCAATAGAATGGCAAGAGGGTTTGGTCATAAATATTTACAAAAAGGGCTCAAGGAAGAGCTGTAACAACTACAGGGCCAGCACACTGCTATCAACAGCATCAAAACTTTATGCAAACGTGTTGAGAAACAGGCTGTGTAGTAGTTGAGAATTTTATAGGAGAAGAACAGTGTGGGTTTCGAAACTGAAGGAGCACTAAAGATGCCATCTTCACATTTCACAGATGATAATAGGCAAAATAAGATACAGAAACTTACCAACTTTTATAATATTCATAGATTACAAAGGGGCACACGACAGAGTAAAGAGCCAGAAACTGAAATTCCAAATCAATTACTCGGTGCGACCCAGAGTTTATATAAAAACTCCAACATTATTTTAATGTTAAGAGACTGGGAAAATGTTTGCATCAATAACAACCAGCAGTGGCCAAAGACAGGGATGTGGTCTGTTGCCTACTCTCTTCAGCATGTATATCAAATGGAGGAAGAAAATTAAACAGGGTATCAAAATTAGGAAATACAAAAGAATAGATACTATCTTATTCGCTTATGATCAAACAATCAGAACAGATTCTGAAGACGATTTACAAAAGGCAGTTTTTGAACTGACAAAGAGGCAGAGAAATGTTTTATGAAAAGATCAGTTCAAAAAACAAAAGTTATGGCACTGCAGGGCAAAGAACAGAAGAGAGACACATTTTGTAATAAATGTAGAAATAGTTGAACAAGTCAACAAATTTTCATATCTTGGAAATATCAGAAGTGTAGTTGGCTGCATCCAGGAGGATTTAGAAAATAAATTGTATAAATACAACAGAATCTGTGGAACAATTAAACAACACTTTGGCAGAGACAAAGGTGCAAAAACAAAACTAAAAATTCACTATGTAATGGCTAAACGTAAGCTAAAGAAGGCATTTCAACTACAGTTAAATGTTTTTAATATATAATATATATGTTTAATAATAATATATATTTTTATTATTATAATAATTAATAGTAAGAAGAAGACATAAAAGGACATTTTTTTTGGAAATAAGGGGTCCCCATGGATTTACTTCCCCAGCTCCCTTATTTTCTCTTGGAGGCCCTGTATTTGAACTTGCCTGTTAAAAAAGAATTTTCAAATGTGTACCATCAGATATGTTAACAAAAATTCAGAACTGTAAATTTCTCAAAATGTATTCTGTCAATATTTCTTTAATGGATACTTCTTCACAATTGTGCAGCCAACAGGAAGCAGCTCAGGAACCCCTGATTTCACATCAAGTGGTGCTGCAGCTGCTCAGGTAACTTTTTGTGTTGTGAACATGCATGGATTCTTCTCTTTCATGACCCCCATTACTCATTATTCTCTATTTCATTTTTTTTGTTTGTAAGACTTTTTTATCTTGCCTCTAATTTTATTTTTGTAATATGAACCATGTGTTATTTTTCTGATTTATGTTACTTTCTATATTCTTCAGCTGGAAGACTTAGGCGAAGACAGTGACTTTAAGGTACATCACCGAAACTCAAACAAATCTTTTAATGCACACTCTGTTTATTGCATGTTAATTTGGTTAATTTAAATGCTCAACCAGTGTGGAGGTTGGTGATGGGGTGCTCTTTGCTGACAGATGTTTTCCTTTATATGTGTGATACGTGTGCATCCAACTAGTGAATGTTATGTTTGTGGAGAAATCCTTCCTTCAATTGTATTGGTGTCAGCAATGAGTGTGAGTGTGTGTCGTTTGTATGTTTTGTACATACTGTCTTGCATTCCACGCTTGTGTGGGCTCTGTTCGCCGTGTGTGGATGATTGTTAAGTTTGTTCATGTTGTACTAATGTTGCATTCTGTCTGACACCTGCCCTCCTCCCTTCTCTGCTGCCAATGACAGAGGAAGACTCCCGAGTTCTTCCATGCACCTAAGGTACATGTCCAATGTTGGTGATTTGCTACTTGCTTGAAAAACAGTGTTGTAGCATTGGGAGTTTGTACTTGCAGAGCATGAATAGCCATGTCTGCTCAGCATATTTTGAAGTTGAGCTTTAGGTTGTTCTGAATTTTTCCTTTATATAAATCTCATTGTATCTCTTGTAAATCTCTTTATAAAATCCCATACTAATGTTCGTGAATGATATGATTAATTAATTGCTGTTTTGTTGATTTTCATAAGTCAAAAGGTTAGCACCAAAATGCATGATCAAACACATTTTATCAAGAAGTTTATTACTGTCAAGAATTAATATTTATATATTTATTCTGTATGCTTCTTTGTGAATTGAATATTAAATTGTGAAGCCATGTATGCTTCTGATGACTGCATTCTTGATTATATTCATTCATTAAAAGATTAATTAAAGTTCAATTTTATTTTTTTTCATATATTTTAAATATACACAAAATTTCTTTGTTTTGAGAGTCTTGTGATGCTCGAACCATGTAGAAAATAGTAACCAGTAAGGATCAATTAATTTATTATTATTGTTATAATCAAAGAAGAAAATTCAAAGAAAAGTTATTTTGAATTTTTAATGTCTGAGCTATTTTTAGGTTGAAAACGATTTTCTTTAATAAATGTAAATATTGCATACTTAATGTTTTACCCTAGTGCTTAGTATTCATAAATTTTGGTAGTTTCATGGTTTTTGCATGTTTCCTGTGTTTCAAAACTTGAAAGTGTGTTATTTATGCAGTAAAGAGCATCACATGATCATTATTTAATTTTTCTTTTTGTTATTTTACATTCTTAAAGACTGTGATAAAGAAAGTTTACAAACTAGTTATTGTGTATTTTGTTACTTGATCTTAGAATAAGTATGAATCTGGCTATTGTGAAAAAATGCATTTGAGTTCTCAATCTAGTAAAAAAAATGTGTTTCAAAGGCCAGTTTGATGAAGAAAATTAATGTATGCTCTTGGAATCAATGATCAGAACTTGCAACCTTTAATTATTGACTTAATAAATCAAATTTTGTTGCAAATTAAAGAATTATATTGATTTAGATAGATTGATGCACTGAAAATAACTTTTAAAATGGTGCATCCTAGGCCCTTAAAAATGAGTTTAAAAGCCTATAGACCACAAGTTACATTTATTTATCTGTATTCTCAAAATTAAGCTTTTTTTTCAACATTATTTTTTAAGTTAGTTTAAGGAAGTTAAGTTTTTCTGGATACTTAATTTATGGCACAAGTGGTATGTGCAGATTCGCAAATTATTCTTTAATATTCTATATTAATTAGTAAGAGGATTGCTAGCTGGACAGGATTATACGATGAAGTTACAATCAATAATAATGGACATTTGTTATGAGATTTTGTCATCTTTAATAAATTAAAAATTGAAAACACTTTTTTCAGAAAGAAAGATATCCACAAGTTTTCTTGGTCATCAAGAAAATATTCGTTCTGATCATTTTTATGTAATTTCTAAAGTTAACATGTATAAAAATGGCAGGTTTCTCATAGAAGAAAATAAGAACAAACAGACAAGTTTATAAAGTTCATTTATTACTTGATTGAGATTCTCAGTACCTAACTCAGAAATGTTAAAACAAGGAGCACACGCAAAGAGAGACTAAAGAAACAATGTAAGAGGAATGAAATAGCATACAAGAAGCAGTATGTTTTAATTTGTTGCGTCTTCATGGCTTATAACCCTCCTTTGACATTGAATTATTATTATTATTGTTATTAGAATAATCCTCCGATACTATCTTACTATCCTTTACTGTCTTATGATGTCCATGAATAGTTGGTACCATTAATGAGAAAAACGATTCATGTAGAAGATATCTTAATAATCCTACAGAAAAAAATTAAATCGGTAAAGATTAAAGTTTGCGAAGAGGATAGCGAGGAAAAGCCAGTTGGGATAGATTTATCTTAAATATTGAAGTCTCCATTTATGAATGCCTAGAAATATTAGGATTTTTATCTGTGAAAAGTATCAGGCCTTCATGATGTAATGTACTGTCAGAACCTGGACCTATGAAGTTGCACAGATTCAGTAAGAATAATTGTGAAATATATAATAATAAATCAAATAATATTTTCATTCTTTACTTTTTTCATACAATTTAAATATCATTCATTGAAATTATATATAATCATTATTAAATAAATAATTAAATAAATTTGAGAGATGAACCTTGTATTCTGCTGAAAAGCCTACCTTATCACTTAATTTCTGCAACTGGATTAGATTCATATTGTGATTCAAATTTCGGATATTTATGTCATAAAAAACCTGTCAGACAATTCAAAAATAATTTTTCTGTATACTTGCAACATAGTTCATAAATTTCTACACCAGTAAATATACAGAATTAGTGTGAACCTGGGGATTTATTTATCGCAATCCTTCGTTAGTTAAAAAAGGAATTAATTTTATTGCAACCCAATAACTATTACAATTATCATGACATCATATCACCATGATCAACATAATCATCACATCATTAATATTTGTTATTACTAAGTTGCAGTTGTTTTTTATCACAATTGTAATATGTCCTTTATTGGAACTTTTGGGGATCATTGTTGACTGTAGATTTTCCTTAGAACTTCATTAAGAGATGATAATTATTGCAAGACAAGATAATTATAGTACTTTTCTGTTGCGCAACTGAGATGCATACTTATTCAGTTTTCAAAACTACTTTATAATTGTTTAGGCATGATTTTGGACCCTTCTATTCCAATATTATTACATATTTAACACTAAAAAGACAGCAATGCTATTCATATGCTACAAAGATGCCAAGCAATCAAAATGACTGCTTCCAATAATTATTTTTTATTTTGGGAAACCATTGTTATATTTCAAGTTCTATAATATATGTTAGGATAATGAAAAACCTTTTCGGATGCAAGTCATATATATAATTATTTTGGGTTAAGAGTCAAACAGACAACTACTTTTTTCATGCCGATACATTGCGTTGAACAGTTTTCTCACATCCAAAACAAGTGTTATTGAACTTCTTGTTTTTACTATATCCTATTTGACACTGTCAACACTTATTCATTCCTTGAATATATGTTTGTACTGAAGTACTCTCTGACAATTGATGCCCTTTTGGCTATTGTTGTGTAAGTCTGTAGTAGAGGCATGCAAAGTTCTTCAACCAGGTTCAGTAAATAAAACTGTTGGGACAAATTGTTTCCGGAGACCTTTTCATACAGAATCCAGGAATTGATTTCAACTAAATCAGTGATGTTATAAAATACTCGGACAGCCCAGTGTCTGGATGAAGATTTAACAGTGAGAGTTCCTGACCTCACATTTAAAACAAGCTGTCATTTTGACTGCTACCCTTTGTTGAAGGTAAATCATGAAGAAGTAGCTATTATCTCAAAAATTAGATGTCTAAAACAATTGTATATGGGCATTTTATAGAACATCCTCAAATATTAAAAGTCACAAAATATCAAAAATAAATCTCTAAATATAGGCACAAAAGAAAACTAAAACTTCAAAACAGTCAAAATTATGCTCTTGTCATTCTTGTGTTAATCATTGATCCATCAGTGGTTCTAGTGACATTTTCTTTTTGACCCCCAATTGGGGATTATGGAGTTGGCATGTTGCAGGCTACATTGTGCTAAAGTTATGGAAGCTATTTATTCTTTGGCAGGGCCTCTGCAGCCTCTGTAATAAATTTCTCAGATTTTAAAATTTCAGATTTTCTGTAAAATATTTGTATTGTTGGGCAGATAGTTTGATAGAGCAGCTCTCAAAATTAGTTTTTGACAGTCGATTTGAAATTGATAATGTGCTGCATCAAAATTGAATATTGCTACAACTTAGAAATGTGTGAAGGAAAAAGGAATGAATATCCACAGGTGGCCTATGAGATTGATAATAGTGCTTATGTGACTAATAGAAATCAATGACAAACCTCAAGAACATATTTGTATTTTGATAACTTCTTTCCTAGTTTTAAAATTGTAAAAATCGTGTGCATTATGCTTCAGATGGTAATTGTTACTTTGTGCTCATTCCATAACCTTTATAAGTAGCCAGTAAAAAGAAAATTGAAACAAAAAATTAGAACCACAAAAATTGTGGTTCTTGCATCAATTTTAGAGCTTCAAATAAAGTAATATTTATAATATGGAAAGACAACAATTATTTACAATTTCAAATCAACGGGTGACTGTGACAGATTGTGAAAGTATGCAAATCAACTTTTCTACAGGATTTAAGCACATAGTAATAGATTTTCAAATGTAATAAAGAAATGGAACTGAATGATACAGGGAAATACAATTTGAGGAGAAAATTGTACTATCCTCTTTTTACAAATTTAATGTAGTTCTTGGCAAGGCACATACCTAGTACTGCAATGTACTACATATTTCTGCAGTGACTTTGCTCATTAAAAATAATACAGATTAGACTTCACACATCTTTACTTACATCTACTTACTGCACTCTTTTCAATGTATTTCAAAAGCCACTAAGTGATATGTTAACCATGCTGTGACAAGGTCTGGTAGGCAAAAACAGAGTGAATTCTTTAAAAGAATTGTAAAAATTGCATTGTCAGATATTTTAAAATTAAATGTAAGTAACCATCCAGTTACGTTAAAAATAATACCTAAAATGCATTGTATGTTTTATTTTACATGCCAAGAGCCACAATTGCCTTTTTGAGATCAGTTTTATTTTATTTTTTTGAAAATACAGTTTACAATTTTTGACAAAAATATTGTGCTTGATGCATTTCTAGAACATATAATCAAATAATGATTTTTGTATTAAGGGTAAAATATAAGTGATTTTATTTATAAGCCCGCACTACCATGCTTCCATGATTTTGCTCCACCCTACTACTGCCCCTTCACTCTGCTCCATTCAATGCTCCTCCCTCCCATCCCATCCCATCCCATCCCATCTCATCCCATCTCATCCCATCTCATCCCATCTCATCCCATCCCATCACAAATACATTCCCAAGGCATGATGTGACTCTACGATGTTGAAATAATAATAGTAGTAATAATAATAATGATGATGATGATGATGATGATGATGACGACAATAAGTGAACACATATTCTGCTAATTAGACACTAAAATGTTTTTATCTGAACACACGATTTTATCTGAATTTTTAGTTTGACAATATGAATATATTCCAATAATAAACAAAAAAATATTTCAACTTTTGAATTTGTATTGCAGAGCAAGCTTTGAATATGTCTTTGGTTTATGTGCTAATGTATCTGGTGTCCTGGAATTATTCTTAAATGACATATGGAATTTTAACATTCTTGCACTTCGTTGCATATTTTGTAGACTTTTTGTTTGTTTGTTCTGGTTTGAATTATGTTGGAAACAAAATTGCAGAGGATATTTTCTCCCAATAATTTCCTAAGAAAATATTTTGTTTGCAGACTAGAAAATCTTTTTTTGCCTACTTACTACAAATTTTGTTACCATACTCTTAAAAACTTATTTTTGTGACTGTTGTTGGCATCCTAATAAAGTTCTTTCTTGTCTTGTGTAAGATTCTGTGGTTATTGGGCTTGTGTTTCATGTGTTATTTCTTTTGTCATGTGGTCTAAGTTGTACCAATTTCTTTGTTCTTGACGGTTGTGATGCCAACTGTGGTTTCCTTGCAAAATGCTGTAGTAACAGCTTTTCCACTGACCAAATCTACCCTTGTTGCCACCAACTTAGAATGAATAAATAAAGGGTATAAAGCATCTTACAAGCTGAGTGCATTTATGACAACAATAAATCTAAATTTCATCTCACTAAGAGTCCAGACAGTGCAAGTATTGAACTGAAAAATATCAAAAGTGAAGGTCTGAAATCTAGTACTTACTTTAGATTGCTCAAGTAAGATCGTGTAGCATGTGTGTTGCAAGAGCATGGCATTGCTGCCTGCCTCTTTTAAGCCTAACTTTCAAGCACAAAGAAAAATGGTACTACATAAAGTTGATGTGTGAATTGAATGAGTCTTGTAGAACTGTGCCTGAATTAATATTAAGACTTCCTGTACTGTCATAGAAGTGGATGTCATGTCATTTCATCAAGTGCTGTAGCTGTAGTCAGAAAATAATACCTAAATCAAAATTTTAGGGAGTTTAAAGAATTTACATGCACCTTTTTTCAAAAGAAATTCATAGAATATTTATTGAAATAATTGAGAGAAAAAAAAAATTGAATAATTTTTGTAAGAAATTGCTGTAGGTTGAATGTTCTTTGTCAGTTTTGAAGTTTTCATTTGCAAAAAAATTAATTACATAAAGTGTATTCTTTAGGGATGTGATGTGTCTCCAAGAGATTGTGTTCAAGTTAGTCATTATGAGATGTATGAAATTAAGAAAAATAAAATTGTACTTTTGTGAGCATTTAACTCTTCAAAAATGTTGGATTGACTACTTGGATGAGTAGTTAACACCATGGCAAATTTCTTTTTTTTTTAAAAAAAATTACTTCTTTGTAATTTTATTTCATTTTGATTCTGAGGTATCTTATTGAATTGCAATCTGAGAAAGTGACACAACATTCATGTTAAAGTTAATGACTATTTCATATTAAAAAGAAGAAAATAAATTATTCATTGAAAATTTACGAAGAAAATTTAAAAACCTGGAAAAATAGAACATAATATTTAAAAGGAAATCCAAACTTGAATTTATCTTGTTATAGTTGGGGAATTTTTTGAATTTATTTTGGAAGCAATGCATGTTTTGAGCTTAACACATGAATTATTGCAACAGAATTCAAAAAAATGAATGTTTGTTTTGAGTGTGTGTTATTCTCTTATTCGTTTGATATTTTTGGAAGTGTGGCATGCAAGTTGGATTGTAAACTTCAAATTATATGTAAGTTTCTAAGTGTTTGCTCTTATGTATTTTTATATTGCTTTGCATGAAATTGATTGTTATTTTCACTTTTAATAACTTTGTAAATGAAAAGAAAACCTGAAAAAATTAGAATATCACACCCTTTTTGTACATTGTGCAATATTTTTTTTCCACTTTTCTAACATGCAAATTAGGTCTTCAGAACCATGCATTAGCATTATGTATTGTTTGGCCTTTTTTATTTTATTGTTTCCTGAATCTAAATTTGCCCTATTGATTTCTTTGTAGAAGAACTATTCTTCCCTAGAAAAGAGTACTTCTTTGCTCAGTTTTCTGAAAAATGATTGTATATATTATTCATATTTTTGAGATCTTCAACTTGTATGTTAGATACTTCATATAAAAATTAAGTTTTGAAACTATTGATGCAGGGAAAAGGCAAGAAACCAGAAATAGCTACTGTGATTGCGCCATATCAAGCTACAAGTGGTGAACAGTTAGATCTTCAACGAGGTCAATTGATTATGGTGCGGAAGAAGTCAAGCACTGGTTGGTGGGAAGGAGAGCTGCAAGCAAAGGGTCGTAAGCGCCAAATAGGTTGGTTCCCTGCTTCCTACGTGAAACTTCTTGGAAGTGGCAGTAATCGTAGTACTCCTGTGCCACATCAAAAAGCTGAAGATGATCTACCCCAACAACAAACTCCTGTGGAACAGAAGAATCAGCCTACAGAGCACAAAGTTTCACAGGAAACTCAGCAGATTGGTAAGTATTATACTTATTACATAAGACAAATTCTTTCAAAATTTCTGCTAATATTATTACTTAAATAGCTGATTACCCAGTGTTGCCTGGATGTTTATTTTATATAAAATGCAATTATGCCGACCTCCATTTCCTAACCATTGCCCTCACCACCCTCTTCCCCCCTCCCGACCGCTTTACCAGCCCCACCCTCTTCAGTTGCCCAATCCGCTCTACCTGCCCCACCCTCTTTGGTTGCTCAATCCGCTCTACCTGCCCCACCCTCTTGGTTGCTCAAATCCGCTCTACTGCCCACCCCTTCTTTGGTGATCAATCCACGTCTACCTGCCCACTCTTTGGTTGCTTCATCGCGCTCTACCCTGCCCACCTCTGTGGGTTGCTCAATCCGCTCTACCTGCCCCACCTCTTTGGTTGCTCAATCGCTCTACTTGCCCCACCCTCTTTGGTTGATCAATCAGTCTCCTGCCCCACCCTCTTTCGGTTGATCAATCCGCTCTACCTGCCCACCCTCTTGTTCACTTCAGCTTCCCTGCCCACCGGACAAACGTTACCTGCCCCCCCTCTTCGTTTGCCAATACGCTCTACCTTGCCCATCTCGGTGCTCGCTGTACTGCCACCCCTGTTGCCCAATACGCCTCTACCTGCCCACTCCTCTTCAGTTGCCCAATAGCTCTAACCTGCCCACCTCTTCAGTGCCTCAATCGCTCTACTGCCGCCGCCCTCTTCAGTGCTCAATACTCTCTTTCCTGCCTCACCCTCTTCAGTTGCTCAATACGCTCTTCCTGCTCACCTCTTCAGTTTGCTCAAACTGGCTCTTTCTGCCTCACCTCTTTCAGTTTGCTTCAATACGCTCTTCTGCTGCATCCTCGTTCCCCCCTCCCAACTGCTCTACCTGCCTCACCCTCTTCCCCCTCCCAACCGTTCTACTTCCCTCACCCTCTTCTCCCCTCCCACCCGCTCTGCCTGCCTCACGCCCTTCCTCCTTCCCAACCGCTCTGGCTTCCTCACCCACTTCCCGCCCCCTCCCAACCGCTCTGCCTGCCCCACCTTGTTCCCATCTTGCCCTTTCTCATGTCAAGTGTTAATTCTGGATTCTGGCTGCATGACATGGTGAATTTTTCCCTAAATTTGGCCACTGGATTTATTCAGTTTTTTCATTATCAGGGCTTGACAATAAGTTTTTCTGCTGAAAATTTCACGTGTTATTCAAGCAGCGTTTCATAAATTTCTCTTGTGTAAGCAGTAATGAGCAAGTAAAATAGACTTATTTGTCGAAGGTGATGAAACATTCAAAAGTAGTCTTATAAAAAGGAATCCTTTCCTTCTGTCATAACATAAAAGTAATGTCTAGGCATTGTTCTGAAAGAAAAAGGGAAAAAAGGCATTTCATTAAAATCCACTCCCTAATAAGTGAATCGTGAAGTAAATCTAGTAAATCACAAAATATTATTGTCAATTTGACATTTAATTGATTGATTTGCCAATTTTGAATATTGTATCAGAGCGTAATGAATGTATGTTTGTAAGGGTAATATTTTGTTATCTTCTTTGTGTTTGTGTTTTAAAATTCTGCCATTCCTATGTTATTTTTGTGAAGCTTGGAAACCATTGGAGGTTAACAAGCCTACTGTTGGGAGCTGCTAATATAATAAATAAGAAAGGGAATGAAATTTGGAATGAAATTTATAACTGTCATGCCCAACTCCCTGGTGTCACAGGGGGTCAAGTCGGGTCCCTGAATCATGTAGTCACAATCACCTTAACTATTATGAATGGAAATGATAGTCAGATTTTAAAATAATATTAGAATGAAAATGGTGTGTGCTGGCGGGGTTTAGTATTGAGTAGCAGCAAGTCGAAAGCCTTAAAACTTTTTCATTAAAATTTGTAGTGCTGTGTATAAAGAGACTTCCTTAAACAGCATGAGACTGAGTGTTTTTGTGACTTTTGTATTGGTGTCCTCTTTACAGAAAAGGTGATCGCTTTGTATCCCTACTGTGCTCAAAATGAGGATGAACTGAATTTTGAGAAAGATGATGTGATAACTCTTCTGGCGAAGGAGGAACCATCATGGTGGCGAGGTGAACTAAATGGTGTGTCAGGACTTTTCCCTAGCAACTATGTTGCTATGCTTTGTAAGTAATGATACTCTCCAATGTATACGTATGCACATGTACATTAGAAATTAATACACATCATAATGCCTGGATATGACACATTCCTAAAAAATCATGTGTTCAAGTAACAACAAATTACTATGTTGTTATTTTATAATGTTGAGGTGTCTTAAATGACTCTTAATACACTAAACTTTCTTGTATGTGATTCTGCTCTATAATGTTTTGGAGGAATTATATGTTTCATTGCTACTTATGAAATATAATAAATTGGTAGAAGTCTTTAAGTTGGAGCAGTAAAGCTGCGGTATCTAAATATTGTTTTTTTTCAATTGTAGGAAGTTGCAAGCACAGCTGGCTACTGGCTGTGGGCCCACTCACCACTCATCGAACACTACAATTCTTGCTAACTAGCTTCCTGTGTGGAAGAGGCATTGCCACTTTAGTGAATAAAGTCATTTTTGTATTCCAAAGGTTTATATGTTGGCATAGGGGAATCAGTTTTTAAGAACCTATTCATTAACCTTCTCCCCCCTCCCCCAACTTCTTAATGATGTAGTTTTTCTTTGTTTTTCTTTCATTAATTTGTTTTTATGATCTGTGTTGTTGAAAACTAACAGGTCTGTGCCCTCTGTAGCATTGGCTGCCTTTTTCCAACCCCCTCTACTCCCTTAATATCTGCTGTTTTGCTACGAAGATTTTGGCACTGCTCCTGTCACTTCCATTATTCCAAATTTGGAAATCATGTTATAGATCAGTTTGTTAGCAAAAGATTTCAGTTTTTGACCTAGCATGAAATTTCTCAAACAAAAGTGGATAAGTTGTCCTTACAAAATATTGCCTTTTTAGAATCTTAGAATGTATTTATATGCATGTGGTAGTGGGTCCCTGCCTTAAGTCATCAGTGTGTGCATGTTTTACTTTTTTTATTTTGTTTTTTAATTATTTTATGTTATTTCTTAACTTATCTATTCTGGGTGGGAGACCTAAACTACCAAGAGATCATTGGTACTTCAAATGGTCTTGAGAAGAAAACTACAGAAACAGAAGTTGATTTTTGATGGATGCTAATATGAAGTTGTTTCAAAGCACTCATATGTTTATTTTTTGTCAATATCCAGTCTTGCCAAAAATGTAAGTTTGAAGGTGGTAAACCGAAGATCCATACATGAAGAATTTTTCTTATTTTTTTGTAATTGCAATCAATTTTACCTCGTAACTGGGAGCTGTGTGTTTCTTAGTGTTTGTGAAGAGTGTATATATTATAGTATTTTGCAGTTACGTATGAAAACAATAAATGCTATGCCTTTTCCATGACAGTTTTAATCTATTAAATTGTATTTAATGAGATGTACAGCAAGATGGCACATGATTATAAGGACATTAGTGTTAGTGTCCAAATGAATAGTGAAGACTGTATTTGCATGTCATAATATATGGTGTTATTTGTTACATATTGACCAAAGAATAACTGGAGCTTGATAGGCATAAAGTAGCAAGATATGAAAATTGATGCTGAGATTCTCTTCTTTTTGAAACTTAGTTTATATTTGTGTATTTGAATCTCGTGAAAAGCAAGCCTAAGGAGAGTGTTTTATATTTTTCCTGTGTAAACTTATTCTAACAAATCGGTTCTCTGCAATGGATAATGTGCAAACGTGGAATATTTTGAGATTATTATATAAAACACTGATACTCTTTACCTGTCAAGTAACTGATCTATAATACAGTAAAATGCTCATACATTTTACTATACAGTTCATAGACTCATTAATGTCACTACATTACTGTTTATACAGTTGTCTCCTAAAAAATAGTTGTTAAATATGTTTTACTCTTAAAATGCAAAATTCTGCTGTTGCTTGATATGAATTGTATGACTAGACACTGAAATGAATGCTAGTAAGGAAATAATTGTTGCAGTATTCCCCTATCTCATTTGCCTTTTTCTTACTTTGTATTACGTGAAACCATTTTTTTCTCTAGTCAAGCAACATTTTAATCATTTGCTACAATTATGGTTTGCTCACTCTGTGATTTATAAGAGGCAGGTGCAATAATGAAATGTAAAATGAACTTTGGAGACAGATGTATGTTACATTTGTAGTTATATTATGTGTGATGGATCACATGTTTATGGTCTTGTTCATATTGCTGTCATTGCTTTCTTTAAAGGTATGGGTACTTCGCATATAAATGTTTGTTTTGTTAATCTCCGAACCGAATGATAGAATCAGTTAAAATACTTGTCTTAGTTATGTGACTTGTTTTATTTATTAAATATTGTAATTAAACTGAAAATATAAATGCATATTTATATTTCAGTGATTCTATGTATTTAAAATGTTGCCTCTGATATTATACTTTTAAGAATTTCTAAGTTCCTAACATGTATATTAGAATTTTCTTCTGTAATATATTTATTTCCAATGTTTTTGAGAGGTACTGTTGCTCTTTAAATTTCTTTGAACTTATTATTCTTGTGATATTATTGTTGTACAGTTTTACTCATATTCTTGTAAATAAAATAGTAATGTATACAACTTTGCGTTTGCGCTGGTGTTTCGAACTACGATTCATTTATTAAACTCTTATGATATTGTATGAAATTCTGAGAGGTATTGTATTCCATTTAGATTGTACATCAAATTGCAGTTCAGGAGCCTGAAAATGTGTATAATGTGAGTTGGCTGAAATATTATTTTAATGTACATTACTGATGTAATATTAATGTGAAGAAATCAAAACTCCATTTGCCTGATTTTCTATACAATCATTTTATGTATATTGTGTTGTTTAACTAATTAGATGTATATCCAAGCAGCAATACCAACAAAATTTCTGTGTACATATTCTGAAGCATTTCCAACCTTTGTACTGTGTACAATAGTTATTTTATTTTGTGTTTTCTTAATGAATGAATGTAGGGAGAATTCTCTTAAAACTGGTGTAAATATTTTGTTGTCTTTCAAGGATCTATTTCAGTAGTGCTGTGAAAAGAATGATTGTAAAAACTGTTGTTTTCAAAACAACATTGTAAGAATCACAGATGGTATAAATAGTTGATAGAATCTCATATTTGTGATCACTCAAACAAAGAGCAGCACATTGTATACCTTTTGGGTTACAAATTGGTGTTCACAGAAGTATAGCAAAATGTTATAACTATTATCGGAATATATAATTGAAAATCTACATAAAGTGTAAATCAGATAACACAAGATATTAAAGTTGATGTTAATGTTAAAAATATATTTGTTTTTCTTCTTCCATGTTTTTGTTTATTTAAACATTGACAAGTACATTGGTACTTCTGTTAAGTATTGATATAAAATTTAGTGACGTTGTATCCAGGTATTACTGGGTGTGTCATCTACATTTGCATGCTTTAAAACCACATTGCATTAAAAAAAAAATTAAAAAATTCTATACATTATAGTAACAAGTGATGTATTTGTAGTGGATCCTACAGAACGCACGAGACAAGATTACATCTCTGAATTAATCAACACTGAAGAAGTTTACATTCAAGACATGGCTTTAGTGCATGAAGTAAGTGTATTAGAACCATAGTAGTAAGTAATCAAGTCTCTTGAATTCTCACTTTCTGTATGTGCTTGCACATTTAATCATACTATTTTCCTTCTTCATTTCCTTATGCAGTTCAAGTTACTTACTCATTGTATGACGCCAAAGAACTGTTAGTTCTTACTGATAAATATGTTACTCTTTAATATAGTTTCAATGTTTTATACATTTGTTAGCAGTCGTTTAGTTTTTGTTTGAAAGAACTTTGTACGTCAGTTCTTCTACCAACAAAAACGATACATTTTAAAGAAGTTGATAGGCCATGGGGATCAACTTCTCTTGAAGTACCCCTTTTAGTTTTCAGTAGTTGTAAATAATTAAAGTTCAGAAAATAGAGCATTTGTAATTGTGCAAAAACTCAATCATGAAATATTGGCAGCCCCTGATTTAAAAAAAAGTATTTGTACTGTGAAGTTACAAACTACACCATCATCTAAATTAAGTGTAACTTTTTTTTTTTAAATGTATATTCAACTATCGATTTTCTGTATTAGTTCCTCTGAATTTTAAAGGAATTTTGGGAGGAGTGTTATGTAAAACATTTACATTTTCTCACCTTATTTCCTAAGAAGAGGAAGAACTATAATCATCTGCCAGAAAATTGTATTGAAGGTAGCATTTTATTGTGTTATGATTGAGTTTGAAATTTTACATTATTTATTAAAAATTGAATAATGTTTCTTGCAATGCATTGCACTGATTTCATCTTACCACAATTTTTGACTTTTCTACTACCACTAAATAATACAATTAAGCATTTGAGACCACTGTAATAATTATTTTTAAACAATTTATCAAAATTTTTCCACAAAAGACATAAATTCAGACTTAATGAATGTTAAACTTGTATGATGTATCAGGATAATTTATAATGTTGGAGTAATCAGCAAATGTCAGTGTGATTTTCTACACAGTGAAGTAATTATATACAAAGTAAAAGAGAATTAAAAAGTGACCTCCAGTTATAATATCAGTATTGCTTCTTACTTTAACAAGGCATTAGAAATAATATAAATATGCATGAACTCCATGTTAGATAAGGCACGTACTAAAGATACTCTTTTTCGTAGGTATTTGAGAAACCCCTTCTTGAAGGTCAAGTTTTGTCTGAAAAACAAGTTAACAAAATATTTGTGAATTGGAGAGACATTATAGAGTGCAATCATATGTTTCTGAGGTACATACACAGTATAATACATTGGCTATGAAATCTAGACTACATTTCATTGTGATTTATTTATTAATAATGCTTAGGGCTTTACGAGTACGGCGGGACATGAGCTCAGGAGGAGAGATCAGAATGATTGGTGACATTTTGTGTGAAAATGTAAGTTATGGATATTATTGCACTACCTTAAAATATTTTACATTGTCTCCTAAAAATTAATGGATATTAAAAATAAACTGCTTTACATTTTGTGTTAAAGCATAAAGCTGAAATCAATTGATTAAAAAATTAGATTTTTCTTGTAATGATTTGTATTATATTGATTTTCAACATAATATTTTTTAAAAACTATTCATATCTATTGTCTGAAAACTATAAATACAAGTAATTTAAAGTTCATAATAAAATATAATAATTTTTAAAGTATTTTTTAAAATGTAAGAATTTATTTTCACAATAATCTTATTAACATAACATTTCTGCAGTTACCTCGAATGACAGCGTATATACGATTCTGTAGCTGCCAATTAAGTGCAGCTTCATTCTTGCAACAGTTGACAGAGCAGTCTTCTGAGTTTCGTGATTTGGCACGTCAGTGTCAAGCTGATCCACGAACTAAAGGAATGCCACTTTCATCCTTTCTAATAAAACCCATGCAACGTATTACAAAATATCCTCTCATAATCAAGAAGGTAGGTTCTCAAAAAATACAAGTAATTCTTTGTGTACTTTGTACTTTCCGCCAATAAAATTAAACATTTTTTATTTACATAAAAGCTGGACCAATGAAATAAATTCATTGTTACTACAATAGTGTTTTACTTTACTCTTGAATACAATTAATTGTGTATGTTGTGGTAACTGGTATTACTTACATTAAGTTTAGAGAATTTTTTTTTGTTGTTTTTCCATCAATAATGTTCTTCATAATAACTTTTTATGCAACCTTATATTACCCCCCCCCTTTTTTTTTATTTTTATTTTTTTTTTTTAAAGAAAAATTCATAATAAACTTAAGGTAATACTGAATGAATGTTGTTGTTGTTATTAATGTAAACCCTACTCAGGTTTAGAACCAGCTTCCTAAGGAGCAGATCTAGGGGTTGGCGGTGCCTCTACAATACTTTGTACAAAATGTGGACTGTTCCCAATAAAGCAATGTCTTGCTCTTCCCAGTCTTTTGAATGTCCTGGGAGTTTAACCAACTTCTTTTCCAAATGTTGCTGTTAAAGAATTTCAGAGCTTCGATAACTATTGGAATGACCTGGGCTTATACAGTCTACAGTCGTCTGTTCTCAATTTGCAAGCTCTTGTATTTAAGACGTTACTCTTCCTCCTTGTTTACAATGTTTTAATCACATGGCACAGCAATATCTACAAGTAGACACTTTTTTCTCCAAATCCGGGATAACAATACGTGTTTTGTTTGTTGCTATGTAGCGATCAGCTTGAATTTTTGCAGTATTGTACTCAATCCAAAAGTCAGCACCGGTTTTGGTGAGTGTTCATGCCACTAGGAGCATGTGTTTGGAACTTCGAGAGCGTTACAGACCTCCCAGTTGAGGTAACTACATACCTAATCATGTTTATTCAAGTATTCAGTCTGTGCTAGAATTGGACAAGCTGAGACTGTATATCAATAGTTTCTTCTTATTCCTGGTAAATGCCTCATTTATCATCTTGGAAAATTTTGAGAACCGCGTGATCTTAGGCAGCTATTACAACTGCTTCTGATTCTGACATTCATTCTCCCTTTTTAAGCAACATATGTAATTGATCTTTATTGATCTGCGCATTATCAGTTCTTTTAAGAAGTTGTCCATGGAGTGGTTTGTCTCTCCATGACGTCTTTAACATTTTTTGTGTCTCGTATTTCATGTTAAGTAGCATCAGAAGTCCAGTGTCTTGTCTTATTCTGCATGTCTAACAAAGTATTTTTTGCAAAGCTACTTGCTACATCACTGTAGGACAAGTCTCACTCTTGTAATGCCTGTTTCCCACTCTTTGGTCAGATTTATTGACCAGTCTAATTAGTGGGTAATCTTAATGACTGACTACATACTGTCTCATCCCGACTCTTGCATTGTGCCAGATGGCTTCAATTTGTGTGAAGCCTTTTTATTCCTCCTTCCTTACCTTACAGTAATCTATGTACATCAGCTTCAGGGTCAGTGATATGATGCATTTTTAGCTGTTTTTTAGTATTTTTATCTATGATTCAAATTTCTTGCTCAGTCCAGTTCACTAGTCCTAAAATGTACTCAGCTACAGGTACAGCCAAACTGCCTTTTGCAGATATTCCTGGAGTTCGGAAAGGACTGCAGGACAAGTCTGACTCTTCTGTAATAATCCCGGCCAATTCTCTCTTTGATTGTGTCATTTGAGATGTTCTCACATTATTCAGTGCCCAGATGTTTATAAGTTTTACTTAGCTCAAGATCTTGAATCAAGTGGACATTTAAAACCCCAGTTCTCTCTGACTTCATTTTGAATATCTTTAAATTGACTTTTACACATTTGTCATGCAAATTTCATGCAGATGTCTTTTCTAAAATCCTTGATGACAGACAGCATTTGGGAGGTAATTGCTTCATTCTTAGCAAACACTTTAAGATTATCCATGTAAAACAAATGTGGAACTGGTCTTTCATCACCATGGAGCTTGTAACCATAGTCAGTGTGTGACAACTGTCTAGATAGCGAAATGAAACTAATGCAAAACAGCAGAGGGGATAGGAAATCTCCTTGAAAAATTCCCCTGTTAATATGAATACTTCGTGTTTCTACTATTTCCTGTGTATTAGAAAATTAATGTGGTACTCCAGGACTTGATACTATGCTTGCAAAACTGAGTAAGTTTAGAATTAAATCAATAGATATCCAGGGTGAAAAAATAGATTCGGGTTCATCCGCAATGTATTTGTAGTTACAATAGGCTTCTACCCAAATATAAGTGTATTATAATGTTGAAAGCAAGTGAGCAACATAGATTGTTTTAAGATTGGGGAGGGGGTACTAATTAAAATATGCAACAAAAGAAAATATTGAATTGGCAGCAAATAAATGTAGTCATGAAGCATTTAATACACTGTAAAAGGCCTTCTGGGAATCAATTTAATGCTAATTTATTGGATAAGTGATACTTATATCACATTTTTGTTTCCTTACATCATTCAAAATTACTTTATTTAGTAGCAAGATTTCCTTACAGCCATAAGAACCTTTACATCATATTTTCTGTTCAGTTGACAACAATGTTTTTTCTAGGTGTCTGTACATTCTTTAGCTGAGGCTGCAGTTATTACTTTGCACATTACTGGCAGACAAGTGATTGGCCTGTAGTTCTCCACCAAAGAACTGCCTTCTGTTTTGGGTAGCAGATGCATGAGCCATTCCTTTGGGTTTTCTAAATTTATTATTATAATTATCATGTTGCACACAATAATTCATGAATACATAAATGTTTGTCGTAGATTTTGGAGTATACCCCTAAAGGCCACCCAGATTGGCAAAATTTACAGGAAGCATTATTGAAAGCTGAAGAGTTTTGTAAACAGGTACATAGTAGTTGCTCATTTTCTAATCAGGACTATTATATTATAATTTTTTGTTTTTATGACATGTAATTGAGTGCCCTTAATATGTTATAAGGTAAATGAAGGTGTACGAGAGAAAGAGAATTCTGATCGGTTGGAGTGGCTACAGAGACATGTACAATGTGATGGATTACAGGAAGAATTGGTGTTCAATTCTCTAACCAATTCACTTGGTCCAAGAAAGTTTCTCCATCATGGTGTGCTTCACAAGGTAAAAATTAATTGAGAAAGGAGGGAATTACATAATATAAAAATCATCTGAAATATATTGCTAGGCATAACAGACCTAACAGTAAATAAAATAAATCTTCTGCTTAAGACTTGTCTATAATAAATCTTCTACATAAGACATGTCTAATTTTATGATACATTCTCTCAGATTGTAATTTGTATTTGACACCTGTACACAAATGTTTTTGGTTTACATACTCTTCCAAGAGAGCCCTCAATAGTATTTTTTACATTTTTTGAGGATTAATATTCCTAACTTTGCTGTATTTATTGTATCTGCTTTGCCTTATTTTGCGCTTTGTGTTTGCTGTTAGTGTAACTGACAAATAATAACTTCGTCTTTCTTTCATTTTCAATGACTTACTGAAATGAACTTGGGTTCATCAATATCGTTTCTTGAACCATGGATTGGTTTATTATGTGTCGTAATCTATTTTTATGGTTAATTCTCCATGTCATTAGGAAAATCTTTTGATAATAATATTATTTCCTTTTTATTGGAAGAACTGTTTGGAGCTGTATGTTTAAAGGGAAAAATAATCCTGTAAATTAATCTTATTTTTCAAAGAAAGATATTTGTATTTGACTATCTCATTGCTTTAGTAATAGATCCTAATGAATTTCAATGTTCCATTTGCAGGCTAAGAGTGGCAAGGAATTAATGGGTTTCCTCTGTAATGACTTTTTCTTTATGGCTCAGCCCAATAAATCTTTGGTTGGAAACAATTCATTCTCATTTGAAAGAAATACAAATATTACTTTTAAACTATATAAGAAGGTAATTTTTTCTTTTAAAGAATTAATATTTAAACAAAGTAACAAAAATAAACATATTTACATTTTTTATTCTTTTAGCCTTTGTTTCTCAATGAAATAGACATAATAACAGATGATAATCAGACACCTGTTAATTCTAATGGTGTTCAAGTTGCGTCTGACTCACCAGATGCCCAACGTGTATTGCGTCTTCAAGAAATGACATCCACAGTTTGCCATGTTCTTGTTACTCCATCAGCATCAGAACGAAATTTGTGGTTGAAAAAACTGGAAGAAGCTCGTAAAATGTTCTTGGAAAATGAAAGTTCCCATTTTCAAAGACAACAATCCAGTAAGTCTGTCATTCATATTTATTTCACATTAGGTTGTTGTTGTTATTATTATTATTATTATTATTATTAGTGTTGTTATTTGTTATTATTACTGTACATTTATTTAGTGGTTTTATTATTATTCTTTAATATTTTTCATGTTCATGGAAATGTATGTTTTGCATTTTTGTGTTCTTCCTTCTTTTTCGTTCTAACACTACTTCTTTTTAAATTTGTTTTATTAATTGATGAAGCATATTTATAAAATTATTATATTTGTCATGTATGTTTTTTAATCAGTTGTGATATGTGTCATTGTGTGTATTGTCTGGGGACATTGTGCACTATTTAAAACCATCATTGTATTGTACACTTGTTTAACGTTAAAAAATATTGCATAGAAAAAGAAAAGTAGTATGCAATATTATAGTGTAATACTTCAGAAATACAGTCAGTAAAGGATTTTTAATACAAATATAGGGTTGGAATCTAAGCTATGACAATTGGATACTTGCTCTCAAAATGCGTCATTTGTTTAAAATATTATTGCCATTCATTTTATTTTTAGTATCTTACATATTATTTGTAAAGTGACATTTTTCATCTACATTAATCATGCAGTTTTAACACCAATTAAAAAAAGATTGTGTGAATCAAATATTTTCCACTTTAAAAGGAAAGCTCCTTTTACCTTTGTTATTCATTTTCATACTTCTCATGCTGCGATACGATTTTATTAATTTTAATGATAATCCCAAAATATATTTGCTTCAAAAAGATTCATGTAAAGTTAAAATTGCTAGCTGCTGAAACATTTTAGGGGGGGGGTCCTCATTTCCCCACATTGGAATGTAGTGATTGCTCACTGATCAATTTAAGTCAATGGAACAATTGTTAAAAAAATTAAATTAAATTAATTTTATCTTCCAACAGTGTAGAACTTCTCTTTTGTAAAATATATCAGCTTTGAACTCTGAGAAAAGTTCATTTTTGTTCAATCTGTTTTTAAGATAAAAGGGGTTCTATTTTGTAGCACCACTAGTTACATTATCGTTTACGTACATATATATGGAGTAATATACATAGTAATATACGTAATATAGAGAAGGTTATATAAAAGTGCGGAAAATCGTTTTCGAGATTTCAAAGGAAATACACTTTTTGTGATTCTCTGGAACTGAGAAAGTGTTTTATTTCAAAATGTCCGTCCGTTCATTCGTGAACACCATTAAAGCGTAACCCATACGTAGGATTTTTTTTCCAAAATGGATATTCCCTGGTTGATCTGACTCAACTCATGGCCCAGCCACTTTGAAAAACGTTCTTCAGAATTTGAGTTTTTTGAAAGAATATAGTAAAATGCACTCAGAATGGTGATATATGTCCAATTTTCAGTATTAACTCTGGATTTTCGAAAACTGCAAAAGTGAATTTTTGCGGCGTCTTCCTACATTACAAAATTGAAGATCAAGATTTTTCCTTTATATGAAATTTGTTCTCTACAGTGGGTCAAGATCATTTTTTTGAACCTTTTAGTAGTTTTGGCACAAATTGCTTGCAAAATGTTAAATATTAAAATAACACGAACAAAGATTTTCTCAAAAACGGCTCCAAATTTTTTCTGTGTACTTCTGGTAGTGATAGTGATAAATATACTCTATAAGATGATATTAAACATCAATTTCCTCTATTTCTTTGTGATTTATCCTCAAAAATTACAAAAATGTATTTTTTTACTTGTCTCTCATGTCGTTAATATGTACATTAGCGGCTATTTGTTTAAATTATTGTATTTATATGCTATTGACTATATGTGCTTTATATTTTGTTACATAAAGTTTTTCAAAAACTGAACAGTTGTCTGTTTACTTCAAATGATTTTTTTTCGAAAACTCAAAACTGTTTTTGAGTAAGAGCTTTAAAAAGATTTTTAGTAATGTTTAAACGCCATTTTCTTAGAAACAGCTCCAAATGTTGCAATTACAATTGCTATATAGGACAAGGTTTTACTCTTCTTTAATATTCTTATAAGACCAAAAAGCTAAACCAGGGTAAAGAAATTAGAAAACTAAATAGTATGAAAGTCTGTACCATTTAGTAGCACCACTAGTTACTTTCTCGTATACATACGTATATAGAAAGTAATATACCTAGCATAGAGAAAGTCATCTAATGCAGCATAAAATCGATTTAGAGATTTAAAGGCAAGTGCATGTTTTGGGGTCCCTGATACGGAAAATGTGTTTGTCAAAACATCAATCTGTCTGTCATCTGTGAACAACACAAACACCTAAACAAAGATTTGTTTCTAACCGAATTCTCCCTGGCCGATCTGGCCTCACTCGAAGCTCTGGGACTTTGAATAGTGTTCTTTAATTTTGAGAGGTCCATTACATGAAGACCTTGGATCGTTTTCAAAATTTTCTCAAAAATAGTTCCAATATTGTTCTTTAAATTTCTTGTAAGAATAGAGTAAAACACAGTGACTTATAAAGGTGGCATAGGTCCATTTTTCCCTCTTAAATCATGAATTTTCAAAAATTGCAAAAGGTTGAATTTCTTTTTGGCATCTTCTTAGTGCTACAAAATTGAAGATTGAGATTTTTTCCATAATTAGTTCTTTCATTCATATTTTATTAAATTGTAGTAATTTTCACACAATATTGAGTGAAATATGTACAATGTTAAAAGTTTCAAGAATAAGAATTTCTCGAAAAGAGCTCCAAATTTATTCTTTAAACTTTTGTTAGGTTATTGCTAAATGTCATTTGCCATCTCTTTTCTTTTTTCAAACATCGCAAATGTAATGTTTTTGACATCTCTCTTGCATCATTAATATTTACATTACTGGTGATTTGTATACATTATTGCATTTGTGAGTGTAGGTCCTTCAAATGTTCTCTTATAAATTCTGTTGAAAAACTCAAAACTTTTCTGTGAAAATTAGCTCGACATTCAGCATTTTCGGAAACTGTCAAATTCTATTTTCTCAAAAACGGCTCCAAATTTTTTAATAGATAATGCTAAATGGATTGAATTGCATGACGTAAATAATCCTTTTTGTAAGTATTATTTTGTTTTCATAAATGACAGAAATATTTTTCTTAATATCTTTCCCATTGTTAATATTTACATTACTAGTGATTTGTATACATTATAACATTTGTGAGCACAATTCTACATACACGTTGCTTTTCTTTTGAAGTTTCTCAAGAATGAAAACCTTTTTGGGTGACAATGAGTTTCAAAATGTGTATTTTCAAAAATTCTCAGAAGCAGCTCCAAATTTATCCACGAAAATTTTCTGATAGGATGAGATTTTACCCTTCTATAATATTTTTGAAGTCATGTTTCAGTTTCATCTTTAGGGGACTGAACATTTTCAAATATATGAAAAAATATAGTTTGGGTGGCAAAAGACAGTAGCTGGGAAGAGGGGAAGGGCAAAACCAGAAAGATAGCCCTGATAGGAAACAAACTAATACAAGAAAGTCTAGTGATGCTACAAAATGGCACAGTTATTGGATGTGAAACGAAATAGTATTGTACAGTTCGGGGCAATTTGTGTACTGTTTTTGACTCTGATAGGTAGTGTGTGTGTAGTGTGTTGTTGTTGAATTAATATGTCCCTTATTCAGAACAAGCCCAGTTTGGGGCATGTGGCCGTGTGCTGGTAGTCGTCATGGAGGGAGATGGCCTGAAACATAGTTCAGTTAGTGGTAAGCTATATCATTTTTGCATGATTAACATCATAAATTTGTATTGCTTTTGCCAGAGGATTGCTAACTGCAATGGTCACCTCTGTGGGTCGTGGTTTTTGTTTCTTTACCTCTTCTCGCTTTTATGAGCATGTTCCCCAGAGTTTTTCTTCAGTGCTCTCGTAACTGAAGTTTACACTAATTATTCCTTTGCATGTTGCATTTTCACGTATATTTTTTAGTTCGCCAGAGACCACTGAAGGGCATGCTGAAAGTAGACATTGTTAAAGCTGCAGAATTAGACACAAACAAACATAAAGGTAACCGTGCATGACATTTCTAGTCACTTGTTTTATAATCTTTCTAATTTTTTTTTTTTTTTAAATTAAGGTTTCCAAACACAACACATTAAGTAAAGCATGGAACTTATCGTATAATGCTTCATTGGTTTTCATATTTGAATCTTTTTATTCTTAAGGCTTCTATTTTTCTGTATCTTTGGTAAATCCATTTTTGTATATTCTTTGAAAATTAATATGAGTTTTTAAATTCAAAATACATTCAAAACTAGTGGGAAAAGAAACTAAGAATTGAACAAAAGGATGAAACTACAAAAATTTCAAGCAGGTTTAACATATAAAATCCTGTTGCTTATCATAAATGTATTCAAGTGTAGAAGCATATGTGTCTTTTCAACAACAAAAAATTGTGTTACAGTGGTGAAGCAAACAATAATTGTGGGTAGGCTGAATGATAACCTTATATTTTCTTATATAGGAGGTCTGTGTGTGAATTCATACAACCTAATGGGTCATGAATTTGTCATTCACATGGCCATCAAATCTTTGATCACTCACTAGCTGTTTAAATAGATTTTTTTGAATGACAGTGCAGATAAAACTTGACCTGTCACTTTATTAAATAATGGATGCAATTCAATGCACTTCGGAGTGATTTTACTCTTTTTTCTTGAAGTTGTTGTTACTTCTGTCTACTATTAACTGTTATTGATTTGCTGCACCAGTTATGCACAGACCTGGCGCCCAGGCTAGTCTGAGGTACTGAATCCCAGGTTTGTACAATGATTCCCTCACCTATTCTAAGAAATCCTCATTGTCACAATTCTTCATTGCTGAATACAATAAGACTATAGGGTATGTACAAAAATTTCAAGAGAAGAATCTCTGCAAAATCAAAAATTGAATATTAAGTTGTTTACTCTTTCTTATTTTGAAAATTCAATAGTTTAATTTCTTAAATTTGCGGGTAAGCCAAGCCTCTTAAGTGCTTCACCACCGGTCAGTAATGAGCTGCTGATATAGCTAGTACTTTACTGATATGTCTCTCAGAAAAGGGGCTCTTACAATTTTTGTAATTATACAAACAAAAATGTCTTGAAATTTGAGGAGAAATTTAATGTACATCTTGCTTTTATTCAAATGTTTTAAAATTAAATTAATAAAAAAATCATAGGGGACACTTTGCATATACCATGTCATTTGAAAGACACAGAGGTAAAAAAACAAATAATAATTATTACAAAGAACTTCACATCTGATAATTTTTGAGAATGTATTTCATTACAAGAAAACTACAATTGTTAATTTTATTATTAAAAATGTTAACAAGAACTTTTTCACTATTACTTTTATTCTTTTAATTCACACCTCAGTTACGTATTGAAGTTATCATTACTCACCACATTATAAAACTACCTGTATAAAACTTATTTTCCCTGTGCAGGAAAATGTGATGCCTTCTGTGAAGTGAGTATGGGATCACAAGAAAATCATACAACAGTTGTGAGTGGTACTCTTAATCCTCGATGGAATGCTTCTATGCAATTTCTTGTAAAAGATTTGAAAGAAGATGTCTTGTGTATAACAGTATTCAGCAGGGGACATTTCTGTCCAAATGGTAAGAAATGAGACAATAACTATTTGTTGTTTTGTTGGTGTTTTCAAAATAATAATAATAATTAATTTTTGATTTGCTTCAGAATTTATGGGAAGGACTGAAGTAAGAGTTGCTGATATATTGCGTGAAACAGCCAATTCCCGTGGACCTATAAATAAACGCTTAAAACTACGAGAAGTGGAAGCAGGAGAAATTGTGCTCAAATTAGACCTCCATCTTTTCTCTAAACATGTATAAATTATATATTTTTTGTAGCAAAATGCATGATTTTCAAGAATCACTACATTGATTTTTCCCAAAATAAGCTGTGATATATGTAGACTGCAGTATTATTCTTTATTTAGGTTATTCATTACTGTTATCTTAGCTTTATCGTAGTATATTTTTAAATTGTCTTCATCATTTATATTTTTCTCAAATGTTTACTTTCAATTCTGTCAAATCATTTTAAATGGCCTTTGAGGCATGATTTTGTATTATATATTTCTGAAGTTTTATTCACAGATGCTTCATGATTTTGAAATATTTTTTACTAGTCATTATTTCTTGTAATAATGACAATACTCAAGCATTTTTAATAAACCATATTTATGTACTATGTAATGTATTTAAGATGCAAGAAAAAATTTCTTGTTGAACTGAATAAATATTGGAAGACAGCTTGGTTATTGAAGTTTTAAATGTTTGAAAAGTAAAATAATTTTATTTGGGCCTCGTATTCTTCAAACCAATGTTGATAATAAATTGTAGGCTGCATGCAACAAATAGTTAAATATAATAATTTATTTGCTAAGCTCTTTTAAGAACAAATTTTAGCAAATTTTATTTTTCTTTACTTATAATCAGAATATTTATAAAAAGTATAATTTTATCCTTGTAAATTCAGCTGTGAATAATAAGAATTTACCAGCATTGCACTACTAGTAATAGAAACAAGACGACAAAGAAAATGAAAGGAAATTAGAAAAACCTTACTTATGAGCCAAATCACATGAGTTTAGCATTAAAAATTATGTATTCTTTAAGGCACTCTATTAGTGAAAACAGTGTTTTATATTTCATCTTCAAAGCACTAGGGTACACTTTTTCAAAATTTCTTCATGGACAAGTGACGTGCTGTGAAAAGTATGCTCAACAATACATTTTGTTCCCAGATTCAGTTACTTGGTCAAGATTTCATTCACTTCCAAAGTATAACTCGGAAGGAAATAGAAAAAAAATTCGATCCTATCAATTCCAATCTAAGATACGAGGAATTTAAGATACTTGATTCAGTGCTCTCGAACAACAAAAAATTAAAATTCTGTGGTGAGAGTCTATTTTCTGAAATGTCGCATTGGGGGAGTAATTTTCATTATTACTTGAAACAAATAAGAAAATTGTCTCGTGAGACTACTATGGTGAAATGTATGTGTGCAATACTCTGTACCCTCTCTGTATCCTCTTTCTACTGTGAAGAAATTTACAGGTTACACACAATTATACACTGTAGACGTCTTTTTGCCATTACTCCAAAACTAAATGTCTTCATTGCAAGAGAATAAAAATAAATTTGCCTATTTGCAATGCATTGAAAAAAGCACCTGTAAAGTTCAGTCATATAACAATGCCACAAAATGTGTGACTCATGATTGTATGCAGTTAAACACACAAATGAATGCATACTGGAAAAAATGAAGTTTCATCCACATGTTATTATATAATAAAAGTGAGAATGTCTACCTATGTCTTGTACTACACCATAAATAATATGAAAGAACTTTAGATCATCATAAGTACAGGAGATATTTGTATTAAAAATGCAATAGTTTAATATAATTAAAACTAATCTCATGTAACGTTGCTAAATTTTATATATCGGATTACGGGAGCAAAACCATATTCCTCAAATGTTGTCAAATAAGAAATTAAAATATGAAAATTAATTCATGATTAATGGTGCAATATTTTCTTACAATTCCAATGATTTTCTGAAAACATAGGGTTTTGTATTTCATTCTTATTCAGTAAAGTTGTAAAGCAAAAAACTTAAGAAAACAACATCCAAATAGAAGTGAACTGAAGTTATTTCTTGCTCATGAAGAAGAAAAAAAAGCAATTGACAGTTGTTTTTATTATTATTATTAATTTTATGTAAAGTTGCATGATCTTCTCAGTTCTTTGGTGACTGTCACAATATAATCGAGACAATTACACACCATTAAAATATTAACTACCTTACAAAATTTGATGTCTTTTCTTGGAATCACGACGATAACAAGAAATTGGAGTTTTCTTCTCCTAAACACTGAAGTCTCTGCTACAAGTACATGGGTACTTGGTAAATATTTTATATTAATATATTATTTTGCTTTATGCCATTACTCCAAAACTAAATGCAGTCTACTTACATATATCTTCTATGATTGAATGCAACCTTAATTTTCAACAACATAAACATTAACTTCTTTATATTGTGAACTAAAATTCAGTGTATAATTATGTCTCACTCTCTAGAGAAAACTTATGCTAATCATTTACAAATATGCTGCAGATTTTTTTATGCTCTACATTCAATAAGAACATGTAATAGTGAATTCAAATTTTAAAATTTTTGTGTTCAGTTGATTACTAGATCCAAAATGACTATTGGAATGTATAATAATTTGTGTTCATGGGCAATTGTTAAAGTTTGTTTTGTTGACAAAGACTAAATGAATTAGGTGCTGTAGTATGGACACAATTTCAAAAGTATATTATGAGTTTGTCCATGTATTCATTTCAAAAATACATTTTTGTATATTGTTCATAGATTCTTTTTTCTTTAATCTGCTAGTTTGCAGTCCAAAAAAATTACATTGCAAAGACTTTGGAGTATGGACGTGTGAAAAGCAATTATTTGCATTAAAAAAATGTACAATACTAATTTTTATCCCACTTTTAACTAACTTTTGAAATACAAAAATAAATCATGATCCACGATAATAGATTTGTTAGTAGGCAAACTAGTTGGGTACTTTTCTAACTTAATCATGATCTAAAAAGCAATAACATTTATGTGTGATATCAGCTGCACACATGCAGCAACATCTTGAACCTGTTCATTCAAGAAACCTATTACTAATTACAACGGACATTGCCGACAAAAGATTTGATCAATGTAGGTTTTTTGACCGTGTATGGCTATCTACAAAGATTTAGAAGAAAAAACAATTTTTCTTTACTTTATCAGGTAGTTCTCTAAAGTTGGTTCCATGAAAACAGCTCACATATCCACTAAATCTCAATATTCCAGAGCAATGCTGGATTCCCCAAGAAACAAAACACTTCAAGGTTGACTGGAAATGAGGCGCTAAGAATAATAATGGCAAACGAAGTTCATTTCGAGAAAAATGACATTTTCGTTCATGTTCACTGTCATTATGGACAAACTTTTGACAGTGGAATTTGAGAGTTTTCCCATGACCCAATACTTTTGATATTTCAGCACATGATAAGTACATGGCAGGAGTTTACCGACATACTTCTAACTGAAAAATGCTAGGTCAGTAGGGATCTACAATTATCCTGAGCGCCACAAATTATTTAGAGGACATCACTTCATAAAATTAAAAAAGGAAACACATTTTTCAAAGAAAAAATTGAAGACAAATGACTTTTAGACACTTTATATTAATATTTACAAAAATTATAAACTTTACAAATGAAGAAGATGCACTATAACCATGAAAATCAATAGCAGAACAATGTTTATTACAAAAGCCTCAATGTTTTAACAATGCATTGTTTAGTTTCTACATAAATGGTCTGAATACAAATTATGAGTCTGAGTTTTAAAAAAATTTGCATTTTAAAAATACATTTTTAATATTTTCTAATTATTGATAGAATTAAAATAAGTCACCAAATAATTTATATTTATGCGTATCTCCCAAAATAAAATTTGTATTTATTGTGATTCAAGGGGAGGCATAATCCCAATCCTTTACACACACTTGCAGGACATCTTTTTTTAAATTAAATCAGGGAAATTACTACCTGAAACATTGGGAAAAGTTGGGGAATTTCATTGATCTTCAAAAATGCGAGAATTTTTGAGAGAATCACAGGAGGGAAATGAAAAATTTTTGAAACATAAAACCAGATATTCTTCAGATAACATCAGTACATCATTATTGGCAATTATTAATTGTTAAACAAATCTTATTTGCGTTGAAACTGTAGAGGTGAGAAATACATAACAATAGGTACTAAGTTTTTTGAGCCAAGGTTACTTGTCTCTTGGTGCAAGGGAATTTGAGATATAAAGGAGAAAATGGCTCAGTTAACAACAGTGTTTTTAACACTGACCCAATCCTAGTTTAATTTAATATTTTCTTCAAATACAAATTATTCAGAGGAAATTGCCCCTAAAAAAGTGGCCAATCTCCAAAACCAATATCTTATTAAGTTGGGATGTTTAAATACATTTGGATTATAAGACACCAACAAAACAAAAGACAGTAAATGTACTTCTCTTGAATAGCAAAATACTCTTAGGGCACATTCAAAAGATTTAAGACTGTAAATTTAGGATATTGAAGATTATTTCATAAAGAAGGCAAAAGGCACACATGTAATTAGCAATACATTACACTGTTCCACTGGATTAAATGACAAAACAGGGCATCTTTGACCCCATAACACACAGTTTTTTCAGTATTCCAAGGTACATGTAAGTTTATTTTTGAGCCTTAATTTATAAAAATGATCAGTTTTGGACGCTTCTGTTACAGTTTTGGCAGGTTTAGCTCTTCTACATATCCCTTTTCCAGGGCACCGGGAGATTCAAATCCTGCAGAATCTCAAATTCTATGTCTAAATTACACCCTTGATATTTGACATTTTTGGGTAATTTGACCTCTCTGGATTGTCTTTTCTGTGGTAATAAATATCTCATCATATTAGAATATTGTTCAGTTGTGAAGCTTTTTCACTTTTAAACATCGACTTAAAAATTTTGTTACATGTTTACAACCCAGTCTAGCTGTGTGTGTGTTGTTTGTGTTCCATATTTCAGCCATTGCAGGCAAAAGTCTCCTCAAACTGTGGTGTAAAGGCACCGTGTTACAATGAGTACTGAAAGTCTGCTCCCGAATTCTGTTTACCCCAAGATGCTCTGCCTTTGACCGTGTCCCTGAAAGCCGAACACACCACAAGATACAATGAGCAGTAAAATGTTTTGACACTCACCCTCAAGCATGCAACGTCTCAAGTTTTGATCGAGTCGGCACTTGCTAAACTTGCCAAATTGTCATTTATGCTTTACACCAGTTTGAAAAAAACTTTAACAGAGATGGCTGAACATATTTGTTTTTCATAATTGCAATATTAATTATTATGATTTTAGTAACAAACCACAAGCCCCTCTTGAAATAGCATATCATATTTATTTACAAACCTCTTTTTAAACTCCATTTTTATCAACAAACATTGGACATTTTTCTGGGGAATGTAAGTAAATACATTCCTTTTACCAGGATGCTTCTTCATCTACATTTTATCACAAAATTGTTGGGCCATGGTCCAATATTCACAACACTTCAGAAATTATGCAAATAAATAATTCACAAAGCTATTTCGCAAACTTTAGGTAAACAATTAAAATTTCATTTTTATTTATTCAATAGCTATTTAAATATTGCTTTTGATGGAGAGTGGGTGGTTTTAACCGCATTTGCTTCACTTCTCAACTCCTAATAGTGTAATTGAAATGTGACTACATGAATGTCTTAGAAGGGCATAATCTCTTTCAGTAAGAAAGCTCTGCAGAAAACTTCAGTGTGGTTTTTGAATTATTTTGAATGCATTTTTAAATCTTATCCACTTAGATTTTGAGGAGTTTAATTAGTTAAAATACTTGTGGGTTTTACAATGCATTAAATGTATTGTAATGTGGCATATTAAGGATGAGCAATATTATGAATAGAAGGAAACATTTGCGTAATTTTTGGGAAATTTTTAGTTTTAATGAAAACAGTACTTTCCCTGTAGTTTTGAAACGTTGTTCTCTATCCAAACAAAATGTTTTCAAAACGAATTTGCTGGTATTTTTGAGAAAAATCTTGTTTTATTTTGGAATATCGATAGTCTGTGATTGAAAAGTTTGTAAACACTGGTGATATTTTGTAAATAATGATTTAATTATTTTATTTAGACTTGGTGCAGCAAGAAGAAAATCTGTTAAAAATCAGCATAAGAAATTAAATAAGCAATATTCAAAAATTCAAGTTTTAATTAAAATTGTAAGTACAACATATTCATAAGCTTATTTTGCTGTATTAGGAAACTACATTTTAAAAAACGGAGCTGTCTTTAAAACTTTTTTGAAAACGGAATACAGTAAAATTTGCTCAATGCGGAAATCTTTTTAATGTGAACATAACTCACAGTCCTGCCCTATTATGTTGTATATTCCAGAATTATCTAATATGGAGAGAAAACAAAAATACTGATCCCTTGAAATTCTGCATTGAGCAAGTTTTACTACTTATCAGTTTATAAAAACAGGTGACTTTGGCCTTGTGGTATAACTACGTCCAAAAAAAAGGGGGGGAGGGGATCTTGCTACAATCCAATTGCTTCAGTATCATATAGAAGCTGTTATTCAAAATCTTACCACTAGTAAAATATACCTACATTCAATACCATTACAACAATTGCCCCTAAGTTTGGAACAAAACCTGTTGTTATGGTATCCTTGAAACAGAGTTCCAAAATTATCCTTCAAAGTTTATTTCCAAATGCTTAGTGCCCTACATTGTGTCACATCAATTAAATAGTTGAAAACAGTCACAAACAGTATACCATTCTATGCATTCTAAGGAAAACATGTTTATGTATTTCAATATCAATGTAAAGTTGTGGTTTTAGTGAAATGAAAAACAATAAATATATATATTTATCACTTAAAAGAAGATACTGTACCGTGCAGGAAAATATCCTGAGTGTATAGCATCATTCTTACACAGAAAACAGTAGTTTACATTCACTACCGAGTTTAAAATGACTGTGGGAATTATTATATGTATCACTATGGCTTTTGAAGAGTTTTGACTTCAAATGTATTCTGTTTCACTAATTACTTCCTGACTTACATAGGTTTCAGAGTATAAGTGACAGTAGGAGTCAATCTCATAAGAAATGCAATTTTTATGGGTCATGCAATTTTAAATTAAGATATACTGATCACCTAATAAATACTGCCTGTGGTCATCAAATTACATACGGGATATTAAAAATTATAAAAAACGACTCAAGTTAATGTTTAACTATTGCAAAATAGCTTCCGAACTACATTCCTTTATCTGGAGTTTATTTGTGTAAAGTTTTTACGTTACTTTTAAGTGATCTTTAAAAACTTAAACACAATATTTCTTTAATTTCGATTCTTTCATTTCTTGTAAGTTAACTTAAAACTTTTCAAAATCTTATTACAGCAATCGTGACATTGAATACTTCTCTTGAAAATAGCATTCATCAAACTACACAAGGTATGCAACTTCTGAAATACATATAGAAGTCAGATCCATCACAGAAAACATGTATTAATAAATTAAGAACAAAGAAATGTTCTGAAGCGATCTAATAGAAATAGATGGCATATACTGCAGTCATACAAAATATAGTTTCCTGTAAAAGAAAAAAAATATATACACATATATATCTGTGTGTGTGTGTATTTTCTATTAACAAGAGTAGAACATTAGAGTGAAGCATACACTGATAAATCATACTCACATTTAAAAAAGTGTCACTGGCATAATTATCTGTGTCTGCATCCCACAAACAACGTGATCCTATTTTCACTCCAGCACCATGTTCTTCACCAATTACACACTGGACAACAAACTTGTAACGAGGAAACCCCATTTCTAAAAATGAAAATTCATTTTCATAACTCTTGTCAATGAAGTTAAAATTTACCATTTTGTAAGTTTAACCAACCTTTCACTTTCATTCGTATTGTATTAGCAATTGACTGAGACCACTCTTTTGCTTCTTCTTCGGAATAGATCTTACCACCAAGTTCATCATTCAGTACATTATGAATCATTTCTTTAACTACAACAGATTTAAATCTGTAATATAAAATTATTTTATTACTAAAAAAAATATATTTCATTTCACAGTAGTTTACATCTGACTTTTGCTTGCGGAAAGACAGTAACTGTTGACATTCTACGTATTTATGAAATCTTGACTAACCATTCATGTATTTATCCCACAAACAAATCAATTATTTCATTGTCAATGACTTCGTAAAAATGCGGACAAGAAAGTAGGATTATTTACTTCTTATGCTAATCTTTAAGACAAACATTTTATTGGTCATAAATATTTAGTTATATGATTGTACATTATCACATAACTGCAAATTATTAAACAAGAGTTAGGAAGTACATCAACGCACTTTTCTTCCAAACCTGGCCGTATCTGATATTGACTGAGAGTAAGCTTGTCTGTAGGTGCACTTGGTGGTCTCAGCCTAGTAATATAACCTCTTTCCGCTACAGCCATGCTTTGCAGAATTGCTTTGTCTCGAACAGCACTGGCATGTTCATCCATATATTCTTTATCAGCATCTTTAGAAATGCGAGGCCGATTAGGATCTTGAATTTCACTAGGTTTTGTCATAACGTCCTGCATACGTTGCAGAGCAGCCTTTCGCGCCTTCACCAAATCTTCGTCCTCCGATCCACTGGACAGCTGGCTTTGTTCAATATCGACTTCGTCCATGGTGTCTTCTACAAGGGATTCGGCGGCAGCCTCCGCCCGTTCGCGTACTTCGCCTATTGCTTCATCTAAAACGTCTCCCTTAACTCCTTCCATAACACTTTTTCTTTCAGTTATTTGTGCAATTCCCTCCGCAACATCTTCCTTGATACCCTCGATTTCTTCTATGTCGCTTTTCCTCTCAGTTGATTTTGCTCCTCTTTCCATGGCATTTTCGGAATCTCTTTTGACACCTGAATTTTCAGCGATTTCTCCCTCATTAGAACTTGATCGGACTTCAGAACTCATTGTGTCTTTTATTATCTCTAGCAGAACTTTCAGTTCATGAAAACTCCACACTATTATAATGTTACTAAGCAAATATAGTAAATCCACTGAGCGTAATTGGCTTAACTTCATTTGTTCCCAATATCCTCAAGTGATTGTATATGTAGAGGAATTTGTTTCTGATTTTTTGTTGTTTTCTGTTTATTAGAATGGATTCCATGCAACTTGGAATCGATGTCAAAATGAATATAATTATTCACACTTTCTGTATTCTTACATGTAGGTCGCTTAACTTCAGGAAATTTACATTAAGTAGTAAGTAATGTGTCAGGTCGCGAGAGACTCCTGGAAATCCTCTACGGATTTTGTTAGCAAGAGGAGTGGGATCTTGCCCTTTCTTATTCATTTTGTCTCTTCCCGTTTGTTGTCGCCTTGTTGACTGCATGTCTCTACGTTCACAGTGTCCTGTCTTGTACAATTTCTAATGTTTTGCCAGTTCATATTACTTCCTTTATCCATCTTGTTCTTTGTCCTCCTATCCTATTGCCATCAGTGAGCCCATTACTCGAGACCAAATATCACAAGTGGTAGCGGTAGCTGAGATCTTTAATGTAAATATTTCAAATAAACCCAACACTCACAATTTGTCAAATATATCTCAAAGCAAAAAAAAGACAAGGCATCAGTTTTTTTGTTGTAATAAAACGAGCTAGAATATACTATACTAGATAGTGGCCATCCCTAGTTTCAGCGCACTTGGGGCCGGTTGCATAAAAGTTCGATATGGAATCCATAAGCTTATTGGTTCTATAAAATAGTCCATGGCGGCAAAACGTGTTTCTAGAACAACCTATAAGGATTTCTATAACTTACAGGTCCTGAAACGGGTCTACAAATGCTTATGAATTCAACAAACAAGCAACATGGCGCCTCTGCGCGCTGCTACTGCTGTTTTGTTTGTTTGAGGTTATGGGTATTAAGCGGTCCGTGTGTTCGGTTGTGTCACGTTTTGGTGGCTTTCACGAATTTTATTTAGTGTGCTGTGCGCGTTTTAGGTGTATTTGTATGTGTTGGATATCAGAGAATTTTATATTCATACATTATTTTTGCATGTCTTGTGACGAGAAGGATTAAATTTGGTTACGAAAATATGTTTACTTTTGCTATAATATTTTGTCTTCTTCCTTTTTTCAATTCTTTTTCACCAAGCACCAATGAATCAACTTCCATCCACTGCTTACGTGTGGCATCCAACCCCTTTTGAGGACATACACCTTCGTACATGATACAATAAAGCCAGATTATATCATGTACTGGTGAATAAATGAGTGCAATGAATGTAAACAATAGTTTTTCAATTATGCTAAAATTCATAGTTTCGTAAAATAATAGTTCAGCCCACACTTAACCCTTTGTAGAATCAACAGTGAATTTATTTTGCAGTCATAACAGAGGCGGCTCTGTCGTAAGGTCACATGGTCACGTGCTCCCCAAGTAATTGATAGAATTTTTAAATTATTTATATTGCTCTATGAACTATTGCAACTTGATTATGAGCGCGCTAATTTTATTTTTGCTCTGAGGAAATGAACGAGATTCAGTAAAGGCATCTGTGTGAGAAACTTGAGCTGCAAGAGCAAAGCTGCAAGAGCGCTTTGGTCACGGGAAGCCCGCGCCGACTGCCTCGCCGTTTGTCGGGGTCTGTCTTCGTAGAACGGCAGAACTTGAGAGAGGGCACGCACAGGTCACAAATTCTGTGTGACCGCGCCGTCAGTTCTGCCGTAGTCAAGCGGGGCAGTGTCCATTCGAAAAGGTCCCAAGACATGTGTTACAATACTTTCTTTTTTCAAGTGCTTCTACGTCATAGTAATTCAGTTTTTTTTGTAATGTGTAATTGTGAATGACAAGCCAAATAACATGAATGAAGTAAGTTTTTACAATACATAATTTAAATTATGAAGACAATTAGAAAAAAGAATTAGACCCAAATAAACCAAACTTGTGCATCAATCAAGTGCTCAGTGATAAAATCGCATATTAGAAAATTTAATAGATCAGTGTATGAGAAATGGGAGTGGATTTGCGGATGCCTATTTTTTTCCTTGTCTTCTGTTCGGGGGCGACGAAACGTGGACGAAGTGTGGCATTAAAGATATCAAGCATTTACCTGGGAAATGTAAAAATCATTCTCTCTGGTAAACCCACGTAAACAATGAAATGAACTTAAAGGTTGTGGGGGGAAATAGTATTAATCAGCAATTGGATGATGCATATAGGATTTTACGTAAACATAATGAACTTGTAGATTCAAATAGGTACATTTTAAGTTGTATAATTGATGCACTAAAATTTTGCGGCGAGTTTGAATTAGTTTTGCATACTCGACGAAAGTGTAGAATCGAATAACCCAGGCATCTTCACGGGTTTAACAGAGTATACATCAACTATTGATAACATTTTAAAGAATAATTTGAAAAATGCAAAATCGTTTCAAGGAATTTCAAAGACAATTCAAAACGATATACTGGATTCATTTTCAAAATTTGCCAAAAATGTATTAATTTTACTGTACCTTAAAGATACAGATTTTGTATTTTGTCTTACGTTCTGCAGTAAAAGTATGCCTCACGTGACATTTCTTTTCGATTGTGTTCAACAAAGAAACATCGTTGCTGTGAAAATCAGAACATTCATAACATTCATCGACCACTTTTCTGATGCAGTATCAAATATTCGTGTAATGTATGAAGACGACCAAGCTTCTTCAAATGAACCAATGAAGAAGATACCATGAGTTGATCTCAGGGAGGGTAGAAGTAATTGTGTCGCCGCTCTTGTATGTGATATTATTGTTAACACTACAGACAGATTCGAATTCTCAGATCATCTAAGTGCTGCGAAATTATTGCTAACTGAAAGATTTCTACAATATTCTGTGAAATCTTCAGAAAGTGAGTTTCAAACAACTATGAGACAATACACAAAAGTTAATGGACCAATACTTAGAACAGAATTGGAAGTGATATATCCTCGGAAAGACATGCATGGTGCTTCTGGTGCTCTTGCGTTACTCCAATTTTTTAGGATAATAATATGTCATGAACTTTTTCGGAGTATGTGTATCTTTTACAAATTATTGTTACCACCCATGTACACAATTGCGAACGAAAGATGTTTCCCCACTTTCAAACGGTTTAAAATATTTCTACGAAACACAATGGGCAGTGACAGACTAAATGCATTAGCTTTGCTTTCAATAGAAAAGAGAATGGTGCATGGTATTCGGGACTTCAACTCTCAAGTGATAGAAATCCTGGCTCGTGCAAAGATACGAAGATTGAACCACAATTCAAAAATTAAGTACGGCAGGTTGATTGATTGCATGTCACTTCGATTATTTATTTGTCTGAAGGTAGTAAACGGAGACGATTTAAACCGGCACTTTGCGCAGCTCCGGTAGCAACTGCCCAGTTTGAATTCTGGAGGCTTTCTTGAAAAGTGCTTTTTTGTAAAAGTGAATTATGCGGTGGATAAACCAAGGATGTTTATAACGATCGCGAGGGCCGAAGGCCCGAGCCTCGCCGTGACTTGGATCCGGGCGAGCGAATCAAGAAAAGCCTTGGAAAGTAAATTGACATTACAATGCCGCGAGGACAAAGTGTATGAAGGGCAAGTCATAAAAATCGCCTATCCGAAATTACTATCTAGTGCATAGCATAATTAGGAGACCCCGCCGCCCCTCTCCCCGAGTGTGTACCGTGTACCTACTTTAACCGTTTATTTTAATGTCCTGTGCCTTGCGCGGGTCTAGCCGATCATTGTGGGAAAGGGTATCGATTTTTGTTCCATAATAAAAATATTTGTTATTATATAGTATCTTGTTTTTGTTACGTATATATGATGCTATGTAATATATTATATGATGCAAATATTCATGTCTGTATTGCAAATAAAATTTGAATAATTTAAATGATTACCGTCTAATTTTTTTTAATCTCATGACGTTTTAGTGCATTATTGGCTGCCTATATTTAGCAAAATAAATGCCTTAACTTCTGTGCTCTACTTGTATGTTCTACTTAATTGTTAATATAGCAAATTAATTATTATTTTGTATTTCAAAGGGATTTTAATAGTAGTTCTTTATTAATTATAATTTATTATTAATTGTATCATCAAAAATTAATATTTAAATTTAAGAATGGAAGGTAAATTAATTTATTTAAATACAAATAGGCAATGGTTAATATAAAGAATTAATTGTATTTACAATACTATAAGAATCAAACTGTGCACGGCCTATGGAACCTATACATTTTATTGAACCTCTAGCTACGGAACCCATATAGAAAGCTTTATGCAAGCGGCCCTTGATGGAGACTCGCCGAACTAGTGGCCGCCATGTTTTTTGAAGTCAAAACATACGAGTGACGGTGTAACAGTCCGTAACCAGTTCCAAACGTAATGCTATACTGTGATTTTGCAACTTTGCCCATGGCAGGTATCAGCTGTTTCATCTAATCAGAAACTTAAACGTCACTTTCGTAGTGACGTCACTATTGTGACATTCAAGCTACCGATTGGATAAAACCGTGAACAGCTAAGACCTGCCAGCGGCAGAGTTGCATACATTGTAGTACAGAATACTTTGTTTCCCAGATGGCGCTGCTTTGACTGCAAAAAACGGCTTCAATTTGCTTCAAAGATGGACGCGCTTCAGCCCCTCTATGTAGTATATTCTAGCTCGTTGTATTAAAATGAACTCTTTTGCCTGAGAAAATCATGATCCCTGGCACGCCCGGATTAAGCATGGAACGACCGCTCCGAGGCTCATGCAGTAAAGGGGTTCCCGCGACTAAATAGTGGTGATACAAAAACGAACAGACTTCCCCTTACTAGTTACTTTTCTATCCTTAGTGTTTGGTCTAGCTTTTCGGTCTTGCGCCATCCTCTTGCCAGCTGCCACCTATCGCCAACCAATTTCTTTTTTTCTTTTTTTTTTAATGTTCTCAATATTTTCGTTTTCCTAACGGTGCAACCGAAATATTACTTCAAAAATATTATAAAATACTTCTACATGGACATAAACCTCGTTCCTCAATGGAAATTGCGGTTTTCAGTGCGGAGTTCAACCAATAGAAATTTGGAGACTTAAAAAAAAATAGTTTCAGCGTTACAGTAAATGCAAAATTTCCAGAGAAATTTAAGCGTTACTGTAAATGCGAAATTTGAAGCTCTTTTTCACAGAAAACTTGTGACTTTTCGAAAAACTTCATTGAAAGACATTTGAAACACATTCACTCAAAAACGCATTAATGTAAATAAATTGCTAGATATTTTCATATTAACGGCGTGAGAGATGTTTTAAAAAAATGTACAATTTTTTGAAAAACTAAAGA